CTTTTCACATGAAAAATATAACGGACTGCCAAGACGCCAATAGTCCTACACGCACATGCACAGCCATGAATGGTTATACCAAGACTACACGTCCGCCATTTTGTTTCTCTGCGGTGGTAGATTAAACATAATTGCTTTTCAAGATGTGTCAGATGCCTGCATGTGAACTAGGTCTTCGCTCGTCTGCTATTTCTGCCGCGATCTATAACCGGGTAATCGTTCAGGAATTTGAGTATTTTACAAGCAAGGTTACCGTTTATTTACATTATATTTGCAATTTTTTTTAACATGGTGTTCGTTGTATCCGAAATCAGCCATGAGGCAAATTATTCAGCTCAAGTTCAAAATAGATTACCAACACAACTAGATTTCTCACGGTTCTCAGCTTAGTGAGTTATATTCTCCTTATAGCAGTTCGACAGTTCCCCAATTTAGATGCAATAACACAATGTAAAGATGGCACGATATGGTTGCATACAAGGGCGCTGTTCGCTCCTCGCCATATTGGAACAAAATCGAGGCTGGAGTTGCAAAAACAAAAAGTGTTTGCACATGTTTAGCAAAGACCTAAGATACCACACTATTGATGTTACAAGTGACTGGTTCCCCATCAAATTTTTGCTTAGCACAAATATTCGCTAAGCAATATAATTTTGCATAGCAGCTCCATAGAGTCAAATTTCATTGCTCTGAAAAGAGTAAAATTTCACTTGTGGCATCAACAACTCTGCCTCGGATAAAAAAAAAAGCATGCGGATTGTTTTTATTGGTTCAACTTTAAGATGCAGAGAGGATCCAGCGATGGAAAAGCTTGACAAATCACGGCACCTGTGTAAATGAAAAGGGCGCGCAGATTTCAGAAATTGTAAAGAAGAAAAAATACAGGGGTGACATGTTTGTCATTTGTCAAACACATTCCAGCAGATTTATGATAGTTGTTCGTACTGGATGATGAAAAAAAGTATTGTCCAGCGTTGGGGTTGTGTTTCGTCAACTCTTGTCGCTTGTGTCTGAGTTTAACCATAATTTCGAGCGTTGTTTTGCAGCAGCGTGGTCCGGTTCGTCAAGTAGCAGAAAGGCTTCAAGACTCCATAATTGAAACCATGGCAATATTAAGGATAAATTAATTGTAGGTAATTATTTTCCAGGGATCTATTTGAAATATGAACCCATGGGGTGCTTAGTTTTCTTTGTCGTATTGACGCAAATCTTCATGGGTGATCTATACTTCGGTTTCTGTAAACAAAGCAAGATCTCGTTTATTTTCACAACGATTATAATGCACAATCCTCAACATTCTGAGCTGTCCATATGCCCAGGCATTAAAAGATAAGATGGGAGTTTAGTTTTCCAAACTCTAGAATTGACGTCACAAGATTACCAACCAACTAAACACTATGATCAGACAGACCTGGAAAAGAGAAGATTAATAGTTTTAACATGTTCGCATGGTCCGGGATCGAAATAACACAGCTGGTATTTTTGTTTTATTATGATACAAACTAAAGATGCTGTCGTTGGAACATTTCAATTCAATTTTCATGTGTAATTTACATGTATTTAAAACGATTATAAGTGATACTTCTTAAATTCTATTGGTGTGCAAGTGCTAAACACTACTACTGACCATTAGTGTATTTCCGGTGGAAAATGTTTCTGAACTTTACACAACTTGCGACAGAGACTTGAGCTACTTTTGTCTGAAAACAACCACAGTTCAGAAAAGTTAACTCTTAACAATACGGAGCTTTATACTCTAAATTACGGAACTAATACATTGACCCGTGAAGGAATATTTCCTGAACACCTCGCGAACTCAAATGTCCGGCGATTCTCAGAAATTCAGAGTTTAATTCCCAGATTTCTCCACTTGGGGAACCCATTGTGTTCGCAATTCTAATTGGGCAATTATATCACCTAACCTCACAACCACCCAATGGGATAAGACGTACAAAACGTCCCTAAAAGCATTCGTGAAGCAATTTCATGCTCCCTACGTCGAGAGAAATGATTTTCCCTGGAGTTCACTGCTGTTTCATGTCCGTCCGTGAGTACCGGGTAATTTCTGGTAATTGGCATGGTGCTGGGGGTAGTCTAGATGCAAGCGTGCCCCGTCTGTTCCTCCGTGGAGAGTTTGCCTCAAGTCATCCCATCTCATCTTTCGCTCATGCCTGAGGCTTTTGCCCTTTCGTCTTCCTAGTGATGGGGCTTTAACGAGAAAAGGGGGTCGTCTTGGTTTTAAAAGTAACTTTGAACCTAATGCTTACCAAATGTGATCAAATACATATCTCCACGATTAAGTGAACATTCCATTGTGTAAAGTTGTTTGTAGACCTAATATTGTTAATTCCATTTCTGATTTCTGGAAATACTTACTAGGCTGGTGTAACCGATTGCGGCCATTCATACGAATTTCCGCGAATAACATTTCGCTCAGCCGCAGCCAAGTGAATGGAATTCTCATTTGATTGCATGGACTTATAGTGTGAAATGCATGGAATTCTCCCTTGATTGAATGGAGTATAGAGTCCCGATTGAATGTCAAGGGCGCTATATGGATGTTGTACTGTAAATTGTGGACTTTGAATTGCATTAACATTGTTCATACTTTACTTTAGCACCATGTTTTATATTTGGAACCTTAAACCTTTAAACGAACGTCTTTTAACCCTGAAGAGTACTTTTAAGACTTCTTTCAAACAAAATTGTGATATGGTAGCTATAGACTAACCAGCAATGTTGTTTCAGAGCGGCATACATATCCCGTGGGCCTACTTCCAGGACGAAAACCTGATTGCAATTTTTAATAATTTATGAATTTTGCCACCGTTTGGTAAACCGTGCCTGGCCCACTTTCTGCCTGTCATTTTCAAAATGATTTCGACTGTTAATAATTCGCGCGTGAAATTGAGCGATTTCAGATCATAAATCAAAGATAATATGACCATGCAGACAACAGGAATGCAACATTTTCTGTCCTCATACCACGTGTCATCTGAATGATGTAAAGATTTGACATTGCATTGGACCCAGACAAATATTCAATACCCGTGGAACATTCCCCGAAGCCATTAGTGACGCGCTCATCATCAGACATTTTTTCGCCCATGATGATGATGATGTTCTTGCATGTTGTGAATGTTTATAACTTGGCTTCATTCGTCTAACGAGCAAACCAGACGCGCACGGTGGAACTTACTTTACTAAAATGGTGTAGCTTAACAAAGTGTTGACATGGGTTTTTGTCCGCATGAATGCGGGTTGCTTGTCCAATGGCTGATTAAGGTTGTTGAACGCCTGGATTAACAGTTCACTAGTAGTGGCATGTCAATGCACTTGTGACAGTGACAGTAAAATGTTGTGAGAGAATTTTACAAAACAAAATCCCCGAGTTTGTTTCTAAAACTCGACAAACTCCATTTTGTTACCTATTAGAATCACAGGTTGCACAAAGGTCACTAGTTTCGAAAGCTGTTATATACAGGTATTGAAACACAGCTTAATTAGTATACAATAAAGCCAAAAAAAAAGTAGTTTCAAACAGCTGTTATGTCCTAAACGGTAACTGTTATAACATTTTAAATTTGTCAAATTTGCTAATAATTTGAAACCTGAGTAAAGGTGTTTAAAGTACTGCAAGAAAACTTAACATGCCATGATAAAAATTATATGTTGGAGATATAAAATAAAACATGATTTGTCAGGAGTGGGATTCGAACCCACGCCTACAGAGTAGACTACGACCTGAACGTAGCGCCTTAGACCGCTCGGCCATCCTGACTTGTTGGTTATCATTGAAATCAAATGTAGTTTTAATCGGGTCAATGAGCATTGCTACAGTGTGAGATAATATCGAGCCATGCATGTTGCAATCCACCGAAACTGGGTGATAATCATGGCGTGTGGGGATATGGACTGGAGTTTGGAATTCGGACGGGGTGCGTGGATTAACATTTTGCAGGCGCATGCGTGGTGACACTATTTATGCATGATTTTGTTTTTATTTTTTCTTTAGAAAAGAAACTCCGCGAAAAAAAATGTTTGGGCAGTCGTTTTAGTAAAAAGACACGCACTGGGCTTGTTGTTTTCTTTTCATTTTTGTTTGTTTGTTGTTTAATTCAAGTTTCGGATGACGAAGTTTAAAATGAATTACTGTCGAAAATGCAAAACTGCCGGTACAACAATCTATCTACATATTCTCTAGTGATGCACAAGGAATTAAATCAGTGCAAAGTAACCATATAACTTATTGTGCAATCTAAATTCCAACACTCCTATGATGACAACTGCAAATTTACGCGGAGAAATACATTCCAAGTTCCCACTTAAATCGTTTGACCTAATGCGTTTGCCAAATATTTTCAGCCTCAAAAATGCGATGAAGATTAGGGGGCCTAAATGCGGACATCATCTAAGAACTCAGAAGTCTGTCCGATGAGAAAAACACGAGAAGAATTTAAAAAGGCTTGTCGCAAATTTAGTTACTGTTAGTAGTGAAAATAGTGTGAAGAAAGGCGGCTGCGGTAGTGTATGCAATTGGCATAGACATCTGGAATAAAAAGGTTTTCTCAACTCGGCTAAGAACTTGACTCGAATTTTTCAGGCGGCAATTTACCAAACAGAAGCGGAGCAAAGGAAGAACTGATGGATTTGAGGATTTAAAGCACATTCTGCACAAACGAGGCAGGATAGAACAGAGCAGAAAATGGCCAGCGCAGCATCAACGGTCAGAACATGCGCAGAGTAGAGAAAAGCAGAGCAATTTTAGTCCAAAATATATCAGAGAACAACAACAGAGTTATTAGAAGCAAGGAAGATGAACAAGTCAGGGCAAATCTTGCTTGAAAACATCATATGACACAGGGAGCAGAGCTAACAGAGCAAGGCAGAGAATTCCGGGTTTCTGATCAACAAATTCTCTAGGTTTTATTTCCGAAGAATGATTGTTTGAGTCTAACTCTTTGTACTACTTTTGTTTCCTTTTTTGCGTCTTAATACAGGTTACGGCAATATAGCTCCAGTGACTGTGGGTGGTCGGGTTTTCTGCATGATCTACGCCGTGTTCGGCATCGCGATGTTGCTCCTCGTCCTCGCCAGCATCGGTTCTCTATTCGCCCGCGGAGCCACACTGACGTATCGCCTCCTCCACATGAACATCGCCATGGCCAAGGGTGCCCCGCCCCCGAAGAAGAAAAAGAAGCTACGCGCGGTCCGCGTCCCAGCACCAACAGAGGGCGCTGCTGAAGGGGTGGAGCTGACGGGAAAAAAGACCAACGGATCGACGGAGCAGCAACCCAGCATGGATGATGTCATCAAAGACATCTGGAGCGCAGAGCCTACGATCGATCAGGGCGATCTACCGCCGATGCGAGTCATGACACTCAAGGAAAATAGGTCTGGGGACGGGGCGGGGCCGGCCAGGGGAGACAACGCGTGTACCAGTGACAATGATGACGAAGAAGAGAGTAACCAGGTAGATATACCACTGACCATCGTCCTCATCTTTGCCCTGATGTACGTCTGCATGTTGGCGGGCTTGCTCTGTCTCTGGGAGGACCAGTGGAACTACTTCGAGGCTTTTTACTTCTCCTTCGTAACCTTGACAACCATCGGCTTTGGCGATCTGGTACCCCAACACCAGAAGAACCTTTTAGGATGCACGTTTTTCATTCTACTCGGCATGGCCATTATGTCCATGTGTATTGCGCTTGCGCAGGAGATCATCACCAAGAAAGTTGTGTGGATCAGCGAAAAGGTGGGCGTGGCTCTAATAAAGGCCAAGCCCACATAGCACACGTCATAGAAGAGAACTATGCCTTAGAGTACATTTCACTGAACTGAACTTAAACATTAACTGTCCGTGCTTTTCAACAAATCCAAATATTTTCTCCTGACGAAGTTTCAACTTGTCCTTTTTTATAGACAATTTATTACTTCTACCGCAACTGGGCAGATTTATTTAATTCGTGAACACGAATGCTAGGACAGAAACAGAGTAATTAAAAACAAAGATTACGTCTTTCGGGGCGCAACTCACAAATACATGTACCACGGACAGTATGTTTGAATCTTTCAATTTAATGTTAAGTTTGTATGAAGCCTATGAGCACTGCAACTGCACAAAACCGTTATTTAATTGCCTTTAAAATACACTTACAAGTTTTGAAGTAGTGTGCATATTCAAAGAAAACTCTTGTGTGACACTTAAAACATTGCACAGTCGCTTGAATGAGGTGGCCTAGTCGTTTTTAAATGATAAAAAAAAATGTGATAAACGTAAATGCCATATAATAACAATGACCACACCAATAATAATTGTCCTTTGATTTCCTAAAATGGCCACTTTTTAAATGAAATTTAAACGTAGGCCTCCTTACTTACATGAAATTCATTTTGGGGTCCGCGGCTCAATAAACCCTCATACGACGACTGTTTCATGTTACTTCCTCCTGACAAAAATACAGTTATAGAATAGTCAAAATTAATGCTACGCTTGCTTGCATTTTGTCAGAAATTAAACTCGACGAAACACCTCCATCTGCCTTGTACTGTAAACCATAATTAATGATGTATTAACACATTTTGGGATAATAATTATGTACCAGTTGGGCCTTCAACTAACGATTTCTTTCACAAGATTGTTGAAAACTCCAAATTGTATAAAAAATTATGTGATTTTGAAAATTTGAAAGTATAATTAATATGCGTGTGCAAAGTATGTCACTGTAATAATTATAAGCGTGTTTTGCACTTTGATGTGCATGCATTTTTTGAAGAATTATCAAATGCCATTAATGCCTGTCGGATTGTTGTAAATTATTATACAAGTACATGTAATATTATTTCGAATCGAAAAACTTTAAAGGTTTGTAAGTTTTTGTAAGTTCTAAAAACTACAATTGAATTGTTGCAAGTAATTTCTTCGATGAAAACAGTTTATGCCAAAATGGGCACAGTATTAACACTAATTTCAGTAATTGAAATGCTCTTCTCAGCACAATTTTCACCATACTTAAAATAATAATAATAATTGCTAGATAGAAAATAAAATTTCCAATTACGTCTGCAATTCCTGGTCAAAGGCTTATTTCAATTTCAAGATGGCTATTAATAGCATTAACCAGAAAATTATCCCATTATTAATTTCGAACGCCATAAACTTAACATTATGTAAATAATCACATGTACCTAAGTACATATCTGTACAAGTTGTGTGAATACTTTACAATAAAAAAAAACATGAAAAGAAAAAATCGAGTGACTTTCCAATTTCTTGAGAATTTGGGGGCTGGAATAATTGTGTCCTGGTGTGTATTGGGGGAACATCAGATCTCTCGCAATAGGTGTGGTAACGGTGATTATCCTATTAGGCAAACAATAAATTCCCAAGTTATTTCAAAATTGTCGATATTATGATATCTTTATCTGAACTTTATGAAAGCTTTGCGAATCTCACTATTGCAAAACCATACCTAGGCTATTTAATGTAAACGTGAATCAATGCATGATTTAACCAAAATGAATAAAGTTTAAAAAGAAAATGTTTTAATATTTCGAGGGAAAGAAAATAGTTTAACATTCAAAATCTCGGTTGAAACTGCTGTTGGCATCATAATTATGATCAATAATCATGCGCGTCCAGAAAAAAAATTTGATTTGTCAGGAGTGGGATTCGAACCCACGCCTACAGAGTAGACTACGACCTGAACGTAGCGCCTTAGACCGCTCGGCCATCCTGACTTGCATACATACAGGTGAATAATGTTGTTATATATAGAATCAATAGGCATTACAAACGTGTATGGCCGATAGATGCATAACATTGTTAGAATACACTGCAACTGTGGGGATGATTAGTCTTGGGTAAAAATTGGGTTTTAGGGAATTTTCTCCCCCCTTGCACCCCCCCCTTGCAGTTGGCAATTTGGCACAAGTGGAAAAAAAAATCGCCAAGCGCGCGCAGTCAAGCCGTCACGACTGATGAGGGCGCTATTCTCACACTGATTCATGCATAAAAAAATATAAATGCTAATAGAGGGCGCTATTGCGCCCGGAATCGGATTGCTTTTTCTGTACAAGAAGTGTCCCATGATTATGAATTTCTTTTCTAAAAGAAAGGGAACCACGAACAAAGAAATTAACTTGGAAAATGAGGGGTGCTTTTTTTGGGAAAAAGTAATACTTTTGTTTAATTTTTTTTCCTTGTGTTGTTTATTTATTTATTTTTGGGGTTGTTGTTGTTGTTTTGTTTATTCGAAGTTTGAAGTCTATTGGAATGGCCAAAGAATGAGTTGCGAAAATACAAAAAAATCCTGAATAGAGTGAATTCGAAAAATTATCCTGTTATTGTTTTGTCTATTTTTATTTTTTCGAATTATTGTAAATCTACTGCAGGGAAAGGATTGAACAATGACCATGAGATTTGTGTTAGTTGTAAATACTTAAATAAGTTACAAAATGGCATCACAAGTAAATCAAGTGTCTTTTACTTTGTGTCGGTACGTATCCGACTATTTCTTTTTGTCAGAGGGTAGACATGAGGGTGGTAGTAGGGAGGACCGTATAAAAATGTCATCTTGGGAAAATTATATTAATTCTAAATAAATGATCATATTATATTGGTCTAGCGCCCTCATTAGGTCCGATATCTGTTAGCCACATGTACTTTCATGTTTACATGTACATGTACACGTACATGTTTACATGTACGTGCTGCGCTTATAAGGAAGCCCATCAAATTCAATTTGTTTGGTGTACGCAGTGGCGTAGCCACCGGGGGGGGGGGGGGCGTGGGGGGGGGGCGACCGCCTCCCCAGTCGCCCCCCCCCCCCTGAGATTTTAAGTTTCTAAAAAAATTATCATTGATCTACATGACGCCATGGGCGTCAATCCTGGGGGGGGGGGGGGGGGGGGGGGGGGGGGGGGGGGGGACATGTCCCCCCCCCCCCCCCCACTTTTTGAAGGGTGGGGGACACAATATCAAATGTCCCCCCCCCCCCAGATTTTTAAACTCGTGTCTCATTTACAGCGCCCTATTATGTACTACAATGTATCTTTTGCTTAGAAAATATTGGTTAAAGTGGTCAGAAATTGCCTCAGGTAGCACCACAGAGCATTTAGAATCTAAAATTTAAGCAGGCCCCGAACCCCACGCCTAAAGCTCAGAATTCTGGTAGCTGATTGAATGACTCCAACCTGGAAAACAATGTACAAAAAATTGTCTTATGCCTTTAGCTGAGAAAACTTCGAAAATTATGTTTAAATTATTATCTTTTTTGCTAAGATAATTATTGGTTAAAGTGGTAAGAAATTGCCTCAGATCACACCACAGAGCATCGAGAATCCAATTTTTTTCGGGGCCCTTAAGCGGGCCCCGGACCCCACGCCTATAGCTCAGAATACCGATATTCAATGACTCCAAACCTCGAAAACGATGTTCAAATAATTATCTTTCGCTAAGAAAATATTAGTTAAAGCATGGAGGAAAGTGGTAAGAAATTGCTTCAGATCACACCACAGAACATCTAGAATAATTTTTTTTTTTCGGGGCCCTTAAGCGGGCCCCGAACCCCACGCCGTAAGGGCTTCGCGCTCGCATCAGTTCTGATCAAGGTATGTCCACCCCCCCAACTTTTGATAAGCGATTGACGCCCCTGCATGACGCCCCCCCATGAAATGTTCCAGCCCCCCCCCCCCCATGAAATGTTCCCCCCCCCCCCCCCCCCCACTGAAAAATTCCTGGCTACGCCACTGGGTGTACGTGTGATAACTGGTATGTTAAAACTTTCCAATGTATCAAATAATTAAATAATGCTTAATTCCATATTTTGAAAAAAAGTCATCACATGTACATTATCATGATTATGCGTTCTGAGCCAACCCTCCCTACTCACTGTAGCAACCCAGACCGCCCTACCTATCACCCTGCCTATTACTCACCAAGTCACTGTAGCGCCCAAAACCGCCATGTCTATTACTCACTTGTAGCGCCCAAAACCGCCCAACCTATCACTCACTGTAGCGCCCAAAACCGCTCCGCCTTTTACTCACTGTAGCGCCCCAAACCGCCCTGCCTATTACTCACTTGTAGCGCCCAAAACCGCCCAACCTATCACTCACTGTAGCGCCCAAAACCGCCCCGCCTATTAGTATTACTCACTGTAGCGCCCAAAACCACCCTGCCTATTACTCACTTGAAGCCCCCAAAACCGCCCTGCCTTATTACTCACTGTAGCACCCAAAACCGCCCTGCCTTTTAGTATTACTCACTGTAGCGCCCAAAACCGCCCCGCCTGTCACTCACTGTAGCGCCCAAAACCGCTCCGCCTATTACTCACTGTAGCGCCCAAAACTGCCTGGGCACTCTTTGGTATTATAAATTCCTTATTAATAAACACAATGTACACTGTACATGTAGTATGGGTGCTAATCAGTTAAAATGCGAACATCAAGCTTAGACACCCCACCCCCTTGCACTCTAGATGCGTGATGCCAACACTTACCCCCCTCACCCACACTGTAAGCATTAATACAAGAGTGTGTTGCCTAGTCGAGATGGACCCACATCTCGGCTTAGGACAGTCTGTCAGTCGGTCGGTCAGTCGGTCGGTCAGTCGGTCGGTCAGTCAATCAACCACGCATTCAGTCAGTGACTCACTCAGAAGGCAAAGACTGTCCAGCAACAATCCCCCTTTGCACCCCAAAACAAACATCCACACAAACACAACAAACCAGCAAACATAACAGATAGATACCCTGCTGGACAGACAGACACAACAGACCAACGGACAGACAAAACAGAGGTGGACAAGCAAACCAACACACCACATACAATCAAACTTACTAAATTGACAACACAAAAACGAATTTCTGAAAGCACGGACAACACATAACAGACATGTACAATCCATCCCTCAAGACAGACTTGAATTTCTAATCTCTTTTTTGAAAATGTGTGGCCCTGAAGAGGGCCGGAAAGAAAAAGGTTGACCGACGGCTTCTGGCTGAAGCCGTTGATGCAGGAAGAAGATGATGATCTGGAAGAAATACTCTGCTGACGAGATGCTGACTGCTGCCTTGAAAGTCTCTTGTCTTGTTACCATGCCAACAAGATGGGCATCATCAAGCTTTGTGACGATGACTCTGCAAGTGTCTTTTCTCACTTTGGTTTCGCAGTTCTTTGCAAAAGGGTTGAGGTCTTGTAAAGACTGGATCAAGATTTGACAGTCAGTGGTTGACCATAGATGTTGCGGAAGATACAGGTGAAGAAATATCCATGGTAACACAGCCGACTGCACAGAACTATTACATAACTGACTGCTACACTTAAATTTAACAACAAAAATATTAAAACTTCATTTTATAAAACTTACAATTACATGTACTTGTAAACGTGTGAAAAAGGATTTAAGGTTGCAAGAACGCCAATCTTTGGTACTTTTCTTCAAAGATGGGAGTCCTTCCATATATAATTTAAACTGGTAGGGAAAACAATCATTTCTTAGAGATATTCCAATCTTGGGCCAAACTTTATCCATGTTGATTCATATTAAACTATCATTGCCACTTTTTTTTCCATCTCATTTGGAGATTTTGGGCCAAATGTATTTTTTTTTGCAAACTTTAAAAATGTTCAGCTGCCCCACATTTTAAGCTGAAAGGTTTAGATTGAAATAACACTGGAGAAAATATTTGTCATATAGAAAGCACACTTCAACTAAGGCTATGAACATGAAGAAATGAATATAAATCGGTAGCTGTTTGGAATGGGATGAAAAAAAATATAAAAAAAATTTGAACTACCAAATTTTGCTTCAAGGCTTCAATGAAACTATCGTATAAATGTATGTAGTTATAAGATCTCTAAAGAAGATGTTATTGCAACAGGAATCAAAATGAAACGCGCCGTGGGAATGGAACTAAAAAAAATGCATTGTTAGGAATTTGAACAGATAACTTGGGAGTCGAATCCTGAGCCTTCAGGAAATGTGCTTCCTATCTCAATGAAAAAAAAATAACACACAGGAAAGGTCTTGTTCCGACAAATAATGCAATATATTTAAGCAAAATATATTAGGACTCTTCAGTGCATGCTATGTGTATGATGCTTTTAATTTCTCAAGACAATCTGAGAAAACGGATCCACTTTTTCCGGCCTTGGAAAATTTAAGATTCAGGTCAAAGGTTTTTTTTTGGAACAAGACCACCTTTGGTACAAATGCAACAATTTTCAACACCTAAACTACATTACAATATGAAAATCGTTATGTTTATCACAACATTAATTTAAGATGATCTTTGGCATGATTTAGCAGCTTCATGTTTGTAGGATAGCCAGAGTATTGAGTCAGCAGAGTTGTGGGATATGTGAGAAAGCAAAGGGAAGAGAACCGGATGCAGGAAAGTGAGAGGTCAAAAAAACAAAAAAACAACAACAACAACAACAAATGAGTTGATATCATAATCATAAAATGAAATCAAAATTGTGACCAGCCACTAAAAAGTGAGATTGGACAAAAATGTCTGGCACATAAAAATAACCGTTTTGGGCGTTCAATCTTTTTTCCCTCTTTGAAAATGCAGGTTTGTATAATTCAAGATTTGATAAAGGAGATTGAAAGATAGTGTCTAAACTCCGAACAAAAAGACAATAGAACTTCTTGGACTGTACTATATAAATCAGATCTTCTGATGAGATAACACTTCATACACTGATAGTGACTGGTCACTTATTCCATTCTCAAGTGGAAAGCATAAATACTCAAATCGTAGGGGAGAACTGGAAAAAGAATGCGTTTTCAGAAAATATATATGTCTTCTTGGAATGTACTTTGAACTGTCTACTTAAATTTGAATGTCTGTAAATAGGATAAAATGAGAAATCAATCAAACTTCTGCGTACTTTTGTAAATGGGCATATTTATGCTTTCCACTTGTTTCTTTTTCAAAAATGCACACTTTTTAGACAAATATAAATCAAAACCAATAAACTCTCAATTTGAAGCTTTGTATTAAGTTACCTATCGCAACCACCTTCGCAATGTTCTCAACATGCTTGGCATGTTATTCAGACATTGGTATTCAGTCAAGTGCAATTCTCAATATTCTTTAAATCTCAAATAAAAAACCACCATCACTGGTCACTTTTTAATCATACAAAGGGATGTTTACAACTTTACGGCAAGAGTATAACTCGCACAACCCCAAGTGACTTTTGAATACGAGTGTCTTGAATATTCAAAACACCCTGTGTGTCTTTGGCACTTTCCACTTCTCACAACTAACTTCTGATTTTGAGAACTTGAGAGTCAATGCACGAGAACCGAGTCTATTTTCAGGACGGTTGCGTCTGATAGCACCATACATTAAAACATGCACATTGCACCAATAAAAAGTACTGCTCCATCAATATTTACATATATCAACAGTTAGGCAATACTGGAAACAATGTACATTATATAAAAATACTCTTATGGCTTCAAGGGCAGAAAAATTGGCCTATGGCCTTGTGTTGTCCATGACCACAATATATATCAGTGCTTAATCTTCAAAGCTTCAAATTGTGTTTACAAAAAGCTGGGCGATAGCAATACACATGCACAGTGTAGTACAATTTTTGGAGTACCCTATATTTAGTGTTCATGTACTTTTTGTGTCAACATTTTAGATTTTGGAAAGCCTGAAAGTGTCTTTATAGACATTTTTTGTTTACTACACATTGAAAATCCGAATTCAGAAATGGAAGGCCAATACTGGTTTAGAACTACACTGTGCATGCTCACACACAAAACTGATCAAAAATGTTTCACCCTGCAAAATGGTAAGATTTACAAATGTCTGTACAACTATTTACAATAATCAATTTTTCTAGAAAAATGTACAAACATTATACAATGTTCTTAAAATGCTTGAAAGCATTATTCCTTTCATTGCTTTCATTGAAATAATTCCAAACAGATTCTGCGCTCGCAGTCGCAGCGCTAACGGTCATTCATCACACATTTGTACTCAAATTCTGCGTTGCATTTTACCGTCTCGCCAATAAAAGCCAAAATGTTTAAAAAATTTACAGAGGTCTTATCTGATTCACTGAAAACTCGTAATTCAATCATTTCTGTGGCTAACGTCTGTTACTATGCTACAGCCTACCCCTAGAACTATGTGGTCTAGGGGTAGCTACAGCCATGCTGGAATTATACACAGCAACATGTATATCGTAAGGGTTTATCAATTGTGTCAATGTTTCAAATTGGGTCGTACAAAACAAGTCAATTTTGAATAGTTGATTCACGGAGACGGTATAACAAGCTATGGCAGATTTGATTGAAAGATCTCCAAAATTGCCACAAATATCAAAAACATGGCCAAAAATCTGGCTTAATTAAGTTCAATCAAGATGGTTTTTATGATTGAACTGGAACTTTTAACATGAACTTCAAATTCCTGGTCATGCTTTCATTGATTGCATTGGTTGTCATGGTTGAGGCTGCGGAAAGACCGTTAGCAAGCCAATGTGCAGGGGGTCGTGGGAGGAGCTCTGGTGAGGGGGCCTCGTTGAACTTGGACCCAGCAAAGCCAGTAGGACTTCCATTGTTGTTGGCCCCATCTCCACGTGTAGAATAACTTGAGCGTCTCAGTGGCGGGGTGCCAGCTTTAGGAGAGACTCTATTCTGCCCCTGATTACCCCGATTCTTGTGCCTTGGCGACCCACCGTTCGAGCGACTGCCGCCGTGTGCAGCAGGATAACTGACTCGGCGAACTGTTTGCGAGGTTTCTGGCGACATACTGATCGGATCTGGAGTCATACCAGCACATAAATGTTACCAATAAACCTCTTAAAACTGTCCAGTGATAGGCAGATACTTTACTTGACTTGATATGCAGGAGGAAAGACGCAAGGCGACAGCTGACTTGACTTGCTTGCTTGAACCGCGGTCTTGCTTGGAAAACAAAGATGGCGACTCTTTGTTGGGAGTATTCACCAACACAAACTTGACAAAGCGTTTTCAGCTGGCGAAGAAATCGTCTCCCTTCGACGGAATTCTGTAAAATTCACAACCCAAAATACCACCAAACTGGGAAGGAGATATTGTACCATCAGATGATTGATTGAAGTGTGAAGAATTTGGGCTGGATGGGTTGAATTTCGGTGCAGTAGTGTGGGGAAATTTGTGGAACTTCCTTTGCGAAAGTGCACTACATGGATGATGTATACAAATGCATACGCGACGCGTATATAAATTGCCCGACACTAGATGAGCCAATAAGCGAATGCGTTTAAGCTACCTTATTATCATAATAAGAAACGGACCAATGATATCCCTTTTCACAGCGATGACGTCAACAACTTTTTTCTGGGCTATAAATACAGACCAATCACAACCTGTGTTTTCTATTGACAATGACGACAAAGCGAAGGCCAAAGGACATGCGACAGTAGCTGGTCGGTTATATTTCCGCTGGCACGCAAGAAGCATACGTCATCGCCAACATAAGGTGAGCTTTTGAAATAACAAATTTCTCACCATAGTTTCGGGCTTCTCCATATGAAAATAGAAATGACGACACTAGGACAATGATGAACCAGGTGTTCTTAGACAGCTATTTAATGAGCATTTCAATTTCATACATTGATGGAGGATTGTCCCCTTTCCGTTTGAATTGCTAAATTGATAAGTTGTAGATTGTGCAAGAAATTTGGGTCTTTCCCTAGCTTACTACGATTACAAATTTACAAACTTTTTACCTAAAGGGCGACCTTTCTGTTTCCCTGAAGACAATACGCAGCCCCATATGTACTCGAACGCTAAGTGTTCTTGTCTCTAGCTTGAGAACATGTATTTATTTATTCCATTTCTTTACCCCAGTGTACACCAAAACAGTTTAAAAATTGGTTTCCATTGGAGCCCGGCATACATTACAAATTATCAGTTCAACTCAGCTCTGAAGAAAAAGTACATGTGATCATTGGTGAAACATATCGACAAACATGTCAGTGGTGACTTTAAAAAAACGGGTAAAAACGCATCTATCGGAGAACATTGAGAGAACAGTGGTTTATTTGAGGATCAGATTCTATATACGGTAAACAAATTTGAGAAAATGCTAAACTTCATACATTTATTTGAAACAAAAATTCATTCTTAAAAAAAAGGAAGAGGGCGGTATACATCGTGACCACGGTGTTTTAGCCATGGGACCTCATCATCGCATGCAACGGAGACAGTTTTTTTTATAAGAAGAAAGGGTAAAACATACAGGCCTAAAAAATTACAGGTGCCAACATCTTGTACAGCGCCCTCTATAATATGGTGACCAGTCCCCCCCCCCCCCCCCCCAAATGTTGACAATAATATTATTGCTAGCTGAACGCACGTGACCCATATCGATTATCGATATCATCAAAGATCTTCCTATATAGCGCAGGATCTCTTATCACTACAGTAGTATCTGCTGGATCGCGGCAAAAGGATGCCTTGAAATGGAGGACAAGAGCGCAAATGGGGATTGCGAGGAGAAGCAAAACGATGGCCTCTCCAGCAGTGCTGCTGACAAGACGGAGAAGACTTCAGTTGAGGGAGATGTGGACGATGACCAGGAGAAAGTTGTCATTGTCCCCCATCTGTCGCTGTTCAGCGCAGCAGCCATCAATGTAGGCAGCGTGGTCGGCTCCGGGTTGTTCATATCCCCTAAGGGGGTCGTTGCCGGCTGCGGCTCGGTAGGCCTCTCCATGGTGATGTGGCTCGTCTGCGGACTCATCTCCCTCCTCGGAGCCCAGTGCTTCGCAGAGATCGGGGCCATGTTGCCTCAGTCCGGGGGGACTTTCTCCTACTTGCATGTCATGTTTGGAGACCTGGTGGCTTTTCTGTACATGTGGGGCAAGGTTGTGCTTGCTCTGCCTGCCTCCTGTGCCCTCATAGCGCTCTTGTTCGCCGAGTACTCCCTGCAGCCGTTTTTTGATGTCAATCCATTGTGTTCGCTCCCCAAAGAAGCAGTGTGGTGCCTTGCAATATTCAGTTTGTGTGAGTACAAATCATTGTTCAAAAATGTAAAAAAAAAAAAAATTTAAAAATAGAGAGAGAGATAGAATAGAGCAAGCAAAAGAAAAAAAGATAGACAGAAGAAAAAAACAAAAATGCAAATGGAAAAAAAGAGAAGAAAAGCACAAAAATGCAAATGGAAAAAAAAGAGAAACACCTCTTCAATCATGTCCAGTGTCCAGTCAACGGGGGATCCAGGGACAGAGGGAGGCCGGGGGGGGGGGGGGGGGGCTTTTCACATTAAATTTGGGCCGAAAAATTTCGGACCGACTTTTTCGGGGAGTAAAAACAAAATCGTTTGCCCCCTCCCACCCCCCCCCCCCCCCCCCCCCCCCCCCCCAACCAAACAGTTGTGTTCTGGATTCGGCCTTGTGTCCAATATCATTTCAATTTTTTTGTTATACTTTGATTTTTTTGATGGAAAAGCAAGGTAGCACTTAATAAAATTACTTATAACATTAACAGATTGCATAAGATTTCGTAGCAACAACTACTTCACATCAGATGCAATGAAGAGGGGCCTTTTCATGCAAGATTTATGATCAGTGGTGCATGTAATGTGACAATAATGCAGTCTAGTCCAGGCTATGAATAATCCATTGTACACAACGACCTATTCAAGGACTTATAACAGAAATGTTCCTGTTCGTCATTTTAAGTGCTACCTTGCTTTTCCTTGTGATTCTGCGTGATAGCACGGATGTCCACCACTTTTTTAGGGGATTTATTATTTATTATATGCAAACTTTGATATTGCTTTTGTTGTTGGCATAACGCTTATTATCAGATTTAGTTATCAGATTTGATTTGTCTCTGCTAAAATACTGAATTTGTCAAAAACAATTCTAACATTTAATATGAGTAATGCCAGAAATTAGAAATCGTGATGAGATTCCATGCTCAGTCTCGGAGCAGATAAAATTAGTTAAGATTATTGCAGATGTCTTAAAGACTCTTAATTGTTGATGTCCCCTAACGTAGTGCACTTTAGAGTTTTCGCCTCTCAAGCGTCTTGCTGGAGAAATAGTTTTACAGAAAGTGACATTTCATCAAGCTCTAAACATCCCCATTCATTAATCTTGAGTTTACCTACCCATTGAAAAAGTAAAAAGAGAAATTTTGGCGCAATTTTCCGATTTCAAGTCAAGTTGACATTTCTGTCCATACTTTCAAATCGCGATAATTACAAACATATTAATATTAAATTAAACAAATATACAGTTAGCAATAAGAAAAGGAATATATATTGATGTATAATATGACTTAAATTTAATTGTTTTGTATTTTTATAGGTGTAGCAACTGCTGTAAATTTTCATAGTGCTCGCTTGGCTACCAGAGTGAATAACGTTCTCGCCATTTGCAAAGTGGCATCGTTGTTAATCATCACAATCGCAGGCTTTGTTGCTCTTTTCCAAGGTAAAAATATTTTAATATTAAGAAACCAAATATGAAATAAAAAATAATTGTCATGCCCAAGCAAAGTTAACTGCTTGGGTAAACAGTAAATACAATTAAATAATTAATATACCTATGACCATCTTGGTGCAAATCAATAGGTCATGACTTCTTGAATGGCGTATGCACAATTGACCAATAAGATCACAGTAACGTTTTCAGCGTAAACTACTGCAGCAGAATCACAGATATTCTGGAGGCATTTCTTGCAACTTTAATTAAGTGATCACAAAAACTACTGCAGGTTTATTTTAAAAAAATCATTTCAAAATTAACAACTAAAACCAAGCAAAATTGAAATTCGTTTGTTTTTTTTTCCCCAGGAAAAACAGACAATTTTCAGGATGCATTCCGTGGGAGTACTTATGACAGTCTTGGAGGCGCATTGTACAATGGTCTTTACTCTTACGCGGGATGGTGAGATTATCAAATCAAAATTTTATTTCTTAATAACAATTGCCGGTAAAATTAAAATGTAAACAGTTGGTAAGTCAAAGTTGCTGTTTTTGTTTACTTACCTACTATGGGGCTTCTCTATAATGAGCTTGTTATCTCCGGATCAGTGCACATCAGGCCCCTGTTGACACCAGAGCATTTGACTGGTTAGTCTGGCCAGGAATGCACACAACAGAGTTACAGTGAAATCTGGACAGGTCAAACTTCAAGGGGAAAGGTTCAAAATTGGACTTGAGCAGAGTTTTGAGATAAGCAGGGTCGTATCGTTGTTATACTACTGGCTTATTTGTTTGACTTAACCAGGGGGTGAGTGATCACCAATAAAAAAGCTGAACTTTGGAAATCTGACCTTTGTACACAGCAAGTGAGGGAAAAAAGCTGACATCCAACACGAAAAAAGCTGAAATCACATTAAAGCTGAGATTTTACACCCCTGTGAACAGTTGTTTTGAGTTTATACCAGAGTTTTACTTAATCAAGATTTCACTGTACTTAAATGTGCCCTAATCTCCTGCTAATCCCCCGTGACTAAAGTGACCGAAAAGTGTGGCCTATAATTAAAAAGAAGCTAAACTGTTAGGCTTTAATTTGAAGTGAAAAGTAGACTTGACTTTTGGAGATTTTATTGTCCTTGTTTTGCTTTTTCATCTCAGGTATGCAATTGGTTTGGTCGGTGGGGAAATCAAAAAACCCGAAAAGTGAGTACTCTCAACAAAAGTAATGTGTGTTTCGTTTGACTTGTTTATTTGATTCCAATTGGCTTGGATTTTTGGATTGGATGTGCACAGCAGACATTTTAGCTGAGAAGCCCTGAAGAAACCTGTAGAGATAACGAAGAAAATGTGGGAGGAAAACCTTCTATTCGTTCAGTTGGGGAATACACACGGTGGGGGTAGGGGGGGGGGTGTCTAAAAACCTCTCTTGGGCTGGCAAAAAAGTAGGAAAATTGTGGAGAAAAACCCAGTTTCACATGTAATGGGGACACCAACCTCTACATATGGAAATAATCACTATTTTCACCTCTCTTGGGCTGGCAAAAAAAAGTAGGGAAATTGTGGAGAAAAATCCAGTTTTTCACATGTAATGGGAACACCAACCTCTAAATATGGAAATAATCATTATTTTGTGCAATAATCTGAAAATGTCTTAATATCATGGAATAATAAGTGTTTATTTATTAGCTTATGAAATGTATAGAATTCAGAAATTTTCAAAGAAAGCCAACAGACATACGGCACAAAAAGATATTTGCTTCACACTGTAACAGACATTTGGGGGGACACTATGGTGTCCCTGTTTCACATGAAACTAGCAACTTATTTGCGCTATATTTCTTAAGCCTGTCCTTGAAAATTCAAAAGTTCATAAAAGACACAAGTATCTTTACTACTTGATATAATTTATAAATTTTAGACTTTTTCAATGAAAACCAAAATATGGCACATTAAGTCACAAATTTCACACGTAAAATGTTGGTGTCCCTGTTACATGGTAAATCATGTTTTTCGTCATGTAAGAAGAAAATCAAAGTCAGAAAATGCAAAATGTATGTTTAGAGTACTAAGATCAGTCCTACAGATTTAAACTGCAAAGGTTAGAGAAAATATATTGCATCCAGACATATTACATAACAATGTCCAACCTTGGACCCCTTATTTATGAAATGACCCAGGTAGCTTTGTTTGATAAAACACAATGATAAGCTCACTAAATATAGTTCAGGCCTTACATTGTATATTTTAAAGAGCAAAGTTCACAAAATGGCCAATTCACTTTGCTAGTCTGAAAAGCTGTGAAGCGAAAAGGCCAACTGCTAACATTTTGTGTGTTCTACATATGTAGCTGACAGTACGTCGATCAGCTCAATAGGTGTACAATAGCAAGGCAATAAAACATACTACATTGACGTTAAGCCCCCCTTTCATATTGCAAAACCAAATGGCACACATACATGTACATGTATTTGTTATCAGTAATAATAAATATTTGAAGTGCCTTGTTCTCATCGCAGAAGTTTGAGCTTTTTGGAAGGGAGTATTAACAACAAAATTTACTCAACTTGTGACTTTAAAGGGAATATACATCATTTGCTTTTGCTGTAATTTTCAGAAATGGATGGAATTGGGGGTTGGAAATATAAAGCAAATATAGTTACACTGACTTTTTGGAGATTTTGGGTTCGAAAATGCTATAAAAACCAAGAAAAACGATCATTTTCCTGTAGTCTGGTTCCCTGACTCCATATAAGAAGAAACAGAGCAGTTTACATACATTGGGGAATTGTAAGGTCAGGGAACCAGTCTAGCTTGCTCGTACCCCTTCATAGGTTTGTAATCGATTGCAAACAAGTGCAATGGTCAATAGGGGCCAGTATTTGAAAAAAAGCCAGTTGTTTCCAACGCTGATCGGCCGATCAGCGTTGGAAATTGATACAAAAATACCACTTTTCTTGAAAATGACAGTATACCAGGTGCCATAATTTTACAGGATGCTTTAGACTGTCATTTACCAACATCCTGTTAAGGTATTTCGCAAAAAATTGGTAGTTTTATTTTTCGATGTTTGCAAATGTTGTATATTCCCTTTAAACCTGGTATCATGCAATCACTGAACTAGCAAAATAATATTTCTATTGATTCTTGAGATAAAAGTGATGATCAGATTTGTTTTTCAGACATAATTGTTGCACAAATAAGTTTTGCTCTTTTGTTTTTCACCAAAAAAAATATGCTTTTGTCTTTTTTTTCTTCAATGGGCAGAAATCTTCCCAGGGCCGTTTATCTTTCTGTTCTTCTCATCATTGCTATTGTTATCCCCACCAACATTGCTTATTTTGTCGTCTTGAGCCCTGAGGAGATGATGCAGGCGGATGCAGTTGCCATGGTAACGCCACTCTGACTGTTCAATTTTCAGTGATGGAGAAATTGCAATACTATAATCTTGTTATACAAAATGCAGTTAAATTCTTTTCATACTTGAGAAAAATGCAGTTGTCACAAACTGATGTCACAAACATTTGAATATAATATACTTGATTGTTTTGTTTTGTTTTCCGGATTCCATTTATTTAAGTGTAATTGAGTAGCACCAACGTTACAAAAACATGAACATAATAATCACAAATATCCAATTCTCTTTTCATAATCACTCTTGGAGGATGACTGCATTAAGGAGTGCATCAGAATTCAGGGTTACAAATGTAAACTTTGCCATAAAACCACAGGTATACATGCCAACATTTGAAAAAGAAAATAGAATTTCCAAGAGATTATTTAACAAAGATTCATCAAAGATGTCCTTTTTTCCCCTTGTCTTTTAGACATTTGGCAGCAAAGCCCTTGGTAAGGCCTCCTTTCTCATGCCGGTCTCTGTTGCCTTAGCAACCCTCGGAAGTCTCAACTCTAGTCTTTTCTCCTATGCCAGGTAAAATTATACAACTGTCGAACCCAAGAAACTCGATCCTTTGCCACTAAAAAACAAGACTGTGGAAGGTCTTCAATTGAAAATAAAATTGATAACTTTGCTACAAATAGGACAACATCTTCACAGTGCAAAGGTGGTTTTTGAAACGTCGGCGTCATTTTCAGGTTCGGCTACACCTTTGCCTTCAGAGTCATTCATAGGCCTGTAATGTTCACAACAAATAGAAATACTCAAAAAACGTTTGCCTCATTCTATAGGATATGATGTTCCAGAAGGAGAACATTATTATGGGCCTATGTTGAGCCGTGCCAGTCACCGAAAATCCGAGCCTAAACATCTCCTAGAGCTGAATCTAGAGTTGAAGTGAACTTTTGGAAATCCCCAATATTAAATTTCAAAAGATTTATCATTCAGTTGTAATTTGTAAACTTGGGTGTTTTTTTTCTTCATTCTCCCCAAATCCTCAGGTTGTACCAGGCTGCAGCAGCCAAAAATCACCTCCCAAAGATCGTGTCAATGATCAACATCAATCGCAGAACCCCAAATCCGGCAGTCATCCTCATAGTAAGAGCTTTTCTCCTTTTTTTAATTTTGTTTAAATCAATTTAGTTGACTCCATAGGATTCAGTTCCCCCTGTTTATTTCGTTTGTCAAAACAAGTCTTTCAAACGCCCACTCAGTGTTTCCTGCCACTACTGTTGTGAGGATTACAATGGGTGAACATTGGCAGATCCAGAGGGGCCCAAGTTCACCATTTTTTTTTTTGGACAGAGTATATTGAGAAACAAATCAAGTGTTTCATGTGATTGGTTATTACCTTGTCTTCCAGAGGAATTTTGAATTTGTCAAATTAGTGGCTGTGGTGGGGAGTTATATCATTTTCATTGAAGTGGCTCATTTTCCAGTCTGCACACAGAATTGGTTTTGCCATTTATATGTGTGTCGATAGCTTCAAATGAGTCAGTCACCATGACTAGGTTTTTATTTATTATGTTCCACATCAGTACGCGATTTCAAAAAATGGAATTAAAGTCATTAGTGTTTTTTAGAGTGTGTTCTTTGCTAGTGCTTTTCTTCAAAATGGTACAATGGAAACTTTCACCAAATATGTCCAAAATACCAGCTTACAACATAATCATTGGCACTTGTCTTGATAATTGCTACATATTTTTAATATTTTCTTTCATTTGGGTCCAAATCATTCCGACTCACCCTGTATACTTAATCCCCTTCCCCTTTTGACCAAAAAAAATTCAAGCCCTCTTAGTCCCCCCCCCCAAAAAAAAAAAATTGGTTCTTGATCCGCCCTTGTTGGTGAATGGTAAATGTGGGGTACAGAATGTACACAACTAACCTGGTTATTGTAACTCAAAACTGAAATATTATTTTAACCTTTTTCCCTTTATTTTCCAGAGCTTCACAATCCTGCTGTTCATCTTTGCTCCCAATCTGTTTTCACTCATCAACTACCACAGTTGCTTCACGTGGTTATTTTGTGGGGCGGCCGTTCTAGGACAGGTGATTCTTCGCTTCAAAGAGCCCAATAAGCCACGGCCTTACAAGGTAACACAAGTCTTAAAATGAAGACAGTTTTGTCTATTCATTCTGCAAACACATGCATCTTGAAAGTCTTTTAACTTTCACATAGGGTTGTTCCAATACCATATTTTTTAGTTATTTTAATTAAAAAAACATTATCCATACCCTCCCGTGAAAACAATCGCTTACAGGCAAGCACATTTAACTGAAATACTTTGTTCTATGCAACTTTGATCCTTGGATTATTTTGCACAACATTTTGATGAACATTACCCCTTCCTATATTATTGGGCATCACTTACGTTTAACAGAAGTTATACACCAATAAATCATAATTGAAAACAAACAAATTTTGTAAGTGTTTTTTTTTTTTTTTTTTGCTGTTTAATTTTTCAGATCAACATCCTTATTCCAATCAGTTTTGTTGTCATCTGCGTTTTTCTGCTCATATTTGGCACGATCAATTCTCCCATGGACACACTCATCGGCATGGCGATCATTTTCTCCGGTGTTCCTGTGTATTATATATTTGTTCAACCGAGGAAGCAACTGAAATGGATCGGAATTTCTTCAAGTAAGTATGCAACGGAAGTGATCGGTTCAGATCCCATCTTCCAAATGGGGGTACTCTTCAAAACTTACCATTATTATGCATACTGGAAAATGGATGCGGATTTTACGGCGCCTTTTAATGGTTTTGGAGCTTGGTTTCTTATTGTTTTTGGTTCATGTCAGAACTCTCTAAACATTTATGGAAATAGTTACTGAAAAATATCTTTCAAAAAAGGGGGGGGGTAAACAATACCAAAGACAGTGTGATTCCTGTTTAAAGCTTTGGGGGCCATGTTTATCTATGCAAATTAACTTTTTCAAGGAAATACATTTAAAATACAAATCCCATAAATGCATATTAAATGTTGTCATTGTTTCTCTATCTCTTGCAGGACTGATCACACACTGGATGCAGAAGTTGTTCCTTGTCATTGAGGAGGAAAAGTAAAACATAAAACAATTTTTTTTTATTTTTTTAGGTTTTTTTTTTTTTAGTGTCTATTTTATTTTTAGAATGGGCCAGTTTAGTTCTTACTCTATTATGGGGGTAATTTCATACTTCTGTGCTTCAGATATAACATGTCACCTTTAATGTTATTTATAATCATATCAATCAGACTAATCAGAAGATTACTGCTATGAGAGACTGCCACACAAGAGTTTTTATGTACTGTTTAGATTTGTGTTTTTGTTTTTGTGTATTTTGTTTTGTGTAATTTGGTAAACGATTTGTATGTCTATTGTGCATTTTATGCGAAAAAAGAATCTGAACTAAAACTGAATTGTGTACAGTTAACTTATACTATATGTATGAAATGTTTAGTTTCCAATTCTAGGCCATATTCAGTCTACGGTACCTAATTAATAATTTCATTGAAGTTATTATGAACATTGACTAAACATATTACTTTTAAACATATCTTTTAAAAACATCAATACATGTACACACAATGCATGTACATGTAGTTATAAAAAAAGAGGAAAAATGTACATGTGTGTGACATAATGTTGAAGACTGAAATAAAGACAGGCTTTATGGCTTACAGTTTTTAAGTGGAAAAAAATGTACATGGTCTTTGTTTTTCCCCAGCGATTATCTAGTACAAACACAAACATAGTGATCTGTGTTTGTAATACCAGGTGAAAAAGTACAACAGTAGAATCAAATATTAAAAAGGACAAAAGTGGGACTTTTGTTGGCTTTCAGGAGTAGTTTTCGTTGATACTGTCGCCAGAGCTTAAAAACGAGGATATTCAAAATCACACAAGACTTTAAACAGTGTTTTTAAATTTGTAATGGCATTCATGAGAAGTAAAAAAAAAAAGAGCATATCAACGGGTCCCAGGAAAAGTTGCATGCCTGATAGTTATGTGGTTGGTCTTGCGTGAAGACTTGATAGAAAGATACGTCAGGGTCACTATTTGTTGTTTTTGTAGACTGGGGCGGTTGACTGAACTAGCAAGTTTTCCATGCCTGTATTCTCACAGTATTAACTACACTAAAGACTTTCACTCAACCGCGACAATTAACTTTCAGTGATACTTGACCCAAACCTCGATTCTGATCAAAAGAACTGCAATTTGTGACATTTGTAAACAGCGAATGGTTTATTTGCTCCTATCTACTGTACAGTGCTACTGATAAAAAAAAACATTTTATGTACAACGTTTGCACCTCTACTTCTGGTCAATTTATAAATAAGCACCTTGAAAAGACAAGAATCAACTTACAAATAATTGCAATTAAGTTAACCCACCGGCGTGTTGTATCGCTTCTATTTTTAATCTATCAATGCGTACCTTACATGAATCAATTAGTCTGGAGCCTGTGATGTGATGGCTTGCCGTTTAGTGAGGCTATTGCAATGATATAGGGAACATGTCCAAGATGGTTGCAGTTGATGATGTAGGGTTGTAAAGGGCAGAATGGCCAACTTTTTGTGCCAGGTCCCTTCGACTTAAAACGGGCCGACAAAAACCGTCTCCTTTGAGTTTCTTGACCACTTGACCCACGACCTCAAGATTTACTGCAATTAGGTCATATTTCGGTGAACGAAAGGCCCATTTCAATGGCTAAACCAGTGCCACGCTATTGTACAAAGCAAGTGCCCTGTGACTCTGAACGATAGCTAGCACAGTTCTTTCCCCACTGAAGGAGGCCTTCGTCATAGAATTGACAGCGTGCTCAGAGTATTCTTTTAGCAAAATAAAGAGCAAATTTAGCCGTGATGCAAGGCTTGCGAAAGTCGGGCTCGAATAAAGCGCTTATGCTTTGGGCTCTTTTGACAAAATGTGCGCGTACAGCATGCGCGTGAGCGTGACACCACTGCATTAAAAGCTTCTGATTCTGATTCAGATTCTGATTCTGATTCCACTATAGGTTCAAACTTCAAGTTATTGAGCAGCTTCATAAATGTATGCAGCTCGTAACAGCTAGGTGTCACTGTTTGGACACTTCTTATTCGTCATATCCTCTCCGAGTAACATGTGGTTGCAACTTTCAATTTGTTTCATTATTTCTTAGAATGCTCTTAGATGATAAACTCATTTTTAAATGACTTAAAATCGTAACTTCCTTCGCCATCTGTTGGAGGCATCACTGACCACGGATAGTGGGAGGAAAATCAGTGAATCATTCCACACTAGGGGTGAAACTCGGGGGAAACCAAAAAAAAAAACCACAAAATAAGTGGCTTAGGGTTTGAGGTTGCAGAGGGCACAAGAGCAACGGAGAATTATGTTAATTTGAGAAAACGTTTGTATATCCCTTTAAAGGGAATGTACATCATTGGCTTTTGCAGTAATTTTCATAAATGAAGAATTTGAGGGGTTAGTATAATTAATCAAATATTATAACACTGACATTTTGTAAGTTTTGTGTTTGAAAAGGTTGGAGAAACCAAGAAAACCAAAAATGTTCATGTTGTCTGGTTCCCTGACTCCACTAAAGATAAAATGGATCAATTTATAGATGATGGAAAATTGTAAGGCAAGGGAACCAGTCTAGCTGGCCTGCACCCGTTCATGGATATGTAACAAATAGCAATTAAAATTTGGACCGAAAAATGGTAAATTTGGAGCAGTAGTTAAAAATAATTAGGATTTTCCAACGCTGGTCGGCCGACCACCGTTGGAAATGTATACAAAAATACCATTTTCTTGAAACTGACTTAACACCAGGTGCCATAATTTTACAAGATGCTTGAGACTGTCACTTACCAACATCCTAGTAAGGTATTTCATAAAAACTTGGTAGTTTTATTTTTCGATGTTTGCAAATGTTGTATATTCCCTTTAAATACCCATTTCTTTTACTCTATATATATAAACTTATTCCAGACTTCAAAAGAAATCCTTTAGAATCCGGAAAATCAGGAGAAAACGCTGACAAATATCACCCCTGCAAATGTCACACTCTTTACAAGTCAACTCAATTTCTTCTACTGTACAAAAACAAAAATCCATCTTAAAAAAAAAAGTCAAAAGCAAAAAGCTATGTACAGGAACAGGTTAATATTAAACAAAAAACTGATACAACTGAATTAGAATTTACAGTAACAAAAGAAATTTCATAAATGTAGTTTTCTTGCCAGGAATAAATGCATTTAGCAGTAATAAAAAAAAATCTTTTGGCAGTACTCATTAGAAATGTTTAGCAAAGACACGTCATCAATCGTGTGCACTTCCATATTAAAAGTTCTAAGCATTGCTATGTGTAATTCTTATGTGCCTGCGCTTTTTTGCCACAAACTATGCGAAAAAATCAAACAAAATAAACTGATCATCAAATTTGGTCCACTGAACCAAATTTCATCTGAAATTAGATAATAAAAAAATTGCATGGACAGTACTTCTTTTGAATTTTACCAAGTGCTGGTCCTCGTATTTGATTGGTCGATCCTAACGGCAAGCAAAGTGAAGCTCAGAGCATCGTGATGCGAGACCGACTGGATGTTAGGTTAGTCGGACTGGAGGCCGAACTGCTGCGGCAATTGGTCTTCCGTCTGGTATCAAACTCTTTCTGCAAACGAAAAAGAACAAAAGACAAGTTTGTTAATTTCATAAATTTTTAATTAAAATTATTTGAAAAGGTAAGAGTCAATCGGAATACAAGTTACTCAGGGATGGAATTTTATCTTTTTTCAAACTCTTCAGCTAAATATTTAGATATGAAACAGCAGGCCACTAATGTTTAGCAATATGAAGAGCAGAGAATATTGCAAGGCACACAGCTTTGAAAATTTCAGCAGATGTTTATCGAACGATTGTGTGACCATGGAAGGTTATTCAATGTGAAAACAATGAAATATTTAAATGTCAAAAGTATTTGTTTATGAGCTTGTTTTCATACATGATTTGTGATAATGACAAATGAATGCAAGTATAAGGATGGTTATGGAATTGGAAACCCTATAATTGCTTACAGGGTGAAGTGTTGGAAATGAAACTCAGTTATTTATATTGCCTTTTGGTCTCTAGGAACTATTCATTAAAAAAAAAAAAAAGCAAAATGATTGTGGATCCAATGAATTGCATATGGATGCAATGAATGAAAAGAAATTTCAAGCTTGAATAAAAATCCAAGTTGTCCAAAACAATTGATGAAACTTTTTAGTAAAACTGATGGACACTCAAATGATTGATAGCATAGTACATAATGAATTTCTGTTAAAAATACTATCACAATTGCTTCGGACATAGCTTTCCATGTATGTAGCAAGTCATTTATTCGGTTAAGAAAAAGATAGACTGATGTTTATTTTTGGCTGAGAATTTTCCAAAATGGAAGTTTATGGAGTTTCATTAAGAACACTGACAAGCATCTGTATAAGCACTGCGCACTGACATATGGTGGTGGAAAATTGTGTTTTGCATAAACCCTAACCACCCCAACCCTTCAAAATCCAACCGCTGTTTTGTTGGAATCTGTTGGAGTGAGGACTGCACTAGTAAACTGATTATGCGTTACATGGGGTCAGGCATACCACCATAATCAGAGTCCAACAGTTTGGATGTTGAATTTACCATAATGTGTTGGATTTTGCAAGAGTGAGGAAGGTTCCTAGTAAATCACTCAAGGGGTGAGGGTTAAAGTTCATAAGCAAAGTCAAAAGTCTTTTTAAGTAAGATAGTTTTTAATTAGTAAGTAGAAAACATTTTTCCCCTTTTTTTAAATTGGAAAATACCTTTACTGGTTATTTCTAGGAAAGAGGATGTGTGAAGCATTTGAGCATGGCTATGAAAACCCAAGAATGTATAGCTGTTGATAATTTTACGTCAATTTTTGTTACTTTACTTTGAAACTTACATTTTAGCGATCCAGAAATTGAACTCATACTTGGTTCAATCTTGCCTGTAAAGACAGTGTCACAGAACCAAAAATATTGGACCAGTTCTTTCAAATGAAAATTCCATATGGGTATCATTACAGATTTTTTTCAAAAACATGGGAGGAAAGCTTTTTAAAGGGCAAGAGTAACACGCAAAAGAGTGTAAAAAACGCAAAATGGTCAAAGGATTGTGTCAAATTTGAACTTTCGATCCTCGTATTGAAACCTACCCTGACTTCCATCAATGAAATATTTTATATTTTAGAAGCTTGCTTGAACAGTAGGGATTCCCCCACCCCATTTTTTCTCCGTCAAATATCTAGAAATTAATTATGTCCAACACAAATAACACCAAGACATTTTCTATATATGTCTGTTACTCTACAAAGTTTCTACTGTAATGTAAAAATAGTACAATGAATCAAAACTTTCCACAAAGACTATAAAAATGCATCGGCCATGTCAGTGTTCTTAATGAAAATCCAGCAAAAAATGTTGGACATTTTACAGAGTACAGAACTCTTGTAGACCATTTTCTTATAAGGCAGAATCAACTCGTCACTAATCACAAACACGGCTTGCAATCACACGTGTGTTTATGGAAGCGGCTGAAGCCCTTTTCCATCGACATGTGTGTGACTGCTAGGCAGAGCCACGTAATACGGTTGCATTTTACTTACTGCAAAATCTGAATAGGTTGAGCAAGCCGACGTGATGGACATGTTGGGGGTTGCTGGGCCGTGTAGTCCCCCACTGATGGTACTCGTGCTGAACGCGTGGCTGATGTCAACGTTCCTCTCGCCAAGGGCCTTGCGGTGGGCCATACGGGCTCCCGTGGGGCGCAACACTCGCTTAGGGGTCTGGTTGGGTACAACAGACGAGAATTTAGGCTCATTTAGAATATTTGAAGCTGGCTACAACTTTTTCTTTTGCAAACAAAAATCCCATGGAAAAGTCTGAAAATTGTCTTTCTCTCAGTTTAAAAAAGTCTGAAAACCCTCACGCCTCATTTACTCTAGAACTTGGTTAAAATGAACAAAAATGTAAAAAGGCGTAATTTTAAACGAAAATTTGCAGAGTTTCGATTTTACAGGAAATAATTGAATGCATGCAAAACTTTTAACAAACCGTCAATGACAACGTAATGCAACGTAAAACTAAACGTACAAAGTCAGTCATACAAGACTAAACAGCTAGCAACATTGAATGAATATTTTTTGTTAAACAGTTCAGTATAAGAAGCATCGGGGTGAACAAACAAAGAAGACTGAAAGGCATACATAGATGTGAAAATAAGGGATTAATGAAGAAACATGGTAGAATGAACATAAGTTGAAAAGCAGTAAAATCTAAATAATAGAAATTTACGTCATATTAAAAGTTTACTCCAACGATGAACATTGAAATGTCCAACCAGCCCTACCTTTTTCTGTGGTACGCTTTTCGGAGGGCGGCAGATTGAGGAAGGGGATGGGAAGGGTATGTGGGGGACGTATTTAGTGCTAGGGGCAGGAGGAGCATGAGGGGTTGTCTAGACACAACAAGGAGAAAAGGATGCGACAAGACGAGAAATAAGAAGTAAGGTTATGATTGACAGCAGGGAGGGGAGGGGGGATGGAGAAGAATGCAATGGATGCGAATTGAGGAGTGAGAAAGGGATGGATGCTGTGACGTGCAGTTAAATTAACCCACAACAAAAACAGGAATGTGAAGATGATTAAACACATCATGATGAGGGTGTCTACAATTTTGGTTTGCAGGTTGGTCCAAGGTTCACAATAAATTCCAAAAAGTGTTTTAACAAATTGTTACTTGAGCTCTGCAGTCCGTCAAATTTGATTTTGAAAAATAAGAAAAATAATTAAGTTGCTGCAAACTGCTCACTGACTGGATTGACCTGAAATATACAAATCGAAAAGTTAGAGAGGCTTGATATATTTCGTCTTTTTGCCTCTGAAGAAGTCTTTGCTAAAGATGAAATATATCAGGCCTTTCTAACTTATAAATTTGATTTTGTTTAGCGTTTAGCACAAAGAGCATCACATCGCTTGTGGACATGTACCTCGTTCAGAAACCACAAAAATCTCCTGAAGATGGAAGTCGGACACGGACAAAAACTGAGTTTTGGAAGTATGCTACGAACAGAAAATTTGAAATTTAATCAAGCTAATTCTACCGGACCTACCTTGGTGTTTGTAGGCGTGGCCTTACAGGCCCTCGGGGGGCGTCTAGCTGGCGAAGGGGAGGGCATGATGCTGGTATGGGTCACCCCTAGTCTGGGGGAATGGGCGTAGGAAGTCCCATTCAACTGTGTGTCAAATCAAGGTGAGAGGGGGAGGGAGAAATAACCAAAAATAAACAGGCAGGGTTGTGATTATGGGTTGGTGGTGGCCAAAGTAGCAGTGCTCAAAATTAAAATTGGTTGGTGGTGAAAAACAAAATGTATAAAATAAAGGAACCCTTTTGGTAATTTTCTCTTGCAATGCCCTCCAGATCCAACAAGCATGATCTGAAGGTGTGACTAAATAAAGGGTATCTCAGGAAATAAAAAGGTGTAATTTGAAAGTGAATTGTGAATTTTTGTCTTAACTTTCATTTCTGTTCATTTACGTGCACTGCTAGAACAAAATAAAAAACAATGAACTGAGCCAAAACAATCCCCTTGTGTAAAGCAACGAATTTGAATAATTTGATTAAAGTGCATGTAATAATGGAAGTGCACAATTCCAAAACGTTCGTCAACTTGTATTGAGCTGTTGTCTGCTGTGCTCTGAAAAAGAAATGTGCCGAGTGCTAACTTCAAATATGGACACTGAATGTATTAGTTCTGCCTCGACCCGTGTTTGAAGTTCAGAGAGTGGACTTACCCCTTTCAGTCGCTTGTTGGGCGTCTTGGAGGAATTTCCGTTGAAGCGTCGCTTGGCCGGCGTGTTTGGCTTGCTGCCAAATGTCATCTCGTTCTCAGTCTGTACAGTCCTGGCTTTGATCTTTGAGGAAAAAAGACAAAAAGGATATAAAATTAACGGCCAGTTTTGTTTTTATCTATAAAACTGCCTAAATATTCTGAAATATCCTACTCGATTGTAAATAAATAAAAATTTCGAGCATCCCGTGTAATCGTTGTGCCTAGTATGCTGTCATTTTCGTTTCCTCACGAAGGGTAGGAACAAAATATTGAGAGAATTGGTTTTGCAGGAATGGAACGTATTTTCTCCAAAGTGACAATACCACTGCTGTTTCCTGTCGCAGCTGGCAATGGATCTGTTGGATCTTGCTACACTTGGCACCCTTCTCAATGCAACAACTGTTGTATGTGTCGTTAAAATAATAAGATAAAATGCAATCGTACCCGTTCTTCTTTCCGTAGTTGCTTGTCCTGTTCGTGTGCAGCCCACTGCATTTGGACGTAATCCATGAAGCGGCAACCGTCCACCAAGAACGGTGCTCCCTTCTCTTCTTCAAACATACTGATGCGTTCCGCTAAAGTCTTCTCCAACTATAGGCAATTCATAAAAAAATTGTCAAACAAAAGTCTGGGGGAAAAAATAGGTTCTCAAAGATATGAGAATGTAACACAAATTTGTAGACTTTAATTAGTCTTCAAGACTTTCCATATCGTATAGCATAGGGTCATCACACAGTCTGGAAAAAACTTTTCCTACGTGATATGCAGGAGATAACGTGAGCACAGAGTGCCTGCAGCCTTCAAAATGCGTGTGCAGTATGCTCTGATTGATAGTCAAAAAGCGTCGTTTTCATATTCAACACGGAGCCCATGGAGTCGAGGTTGATAAAACACACTTAAGGCAAAAAAAAAAAAATATTCGGTCTCTGGTCAGACCAAAGTTCCGGAATTGACGCGGCCACGCGACTTTTTTTTTTTTTTCTTCAGCTTGGATTGTACAGACAAGGTGGGTACTATTTTGCTTTTTTGGTGTCCTCATGTACATTGGTGGCCTCCATAATTTGCCTTGGTGCTTTCGATCATTTGCCTTGGTGCAATTTCCCATTCCTTGGTGCTCTTTGGTAAAAAAATTGAGGAGATGCGGAAATAGAGGGCGCTGTTGGAGCTACCGCGGAACATTTTGGTAAAAAAAAAGATCGACGCGCATGCTTAAAATCAACGCGCGCGCTGACCAGAGACCGACTTATTTTTTTTTTTTTGGCCTAAAGAGCAAATCTCTACAAATGAACAGAATGGCCAAGCCTCGTACCTTGGGCAGGTCTCTGTTGATTTTCTTTCTCTCTTTCTCTTCCTGCAGCAGGTTGCCTCCTCTGTTGTTGTAGCGGTTAGGATCGTAGGCTTTCTTCTGTAGAGATAAACAAACATTTCGGGGGTAGGAGTCCAGATTGAAACCGAGAGTTTGTGCTACAAACGAACCGCCAAACTCAACTAACATTTGCCAAACATAGCACTTCCAAACCGAACTGAACCAAACGAAATTGTTTAGTTTGGAATGTACATTAACATGATTTTCAGCGCCACTTATTTTTAATCGTGCAGTCAAAATAATCAAACCTTGCACAACAAAATTATCAAATTTTAGTTCTAAAATAAAACGAAACTCGGAGGTTGTAGTGATAAAACTCAGGGTTTGTAGTGAGAACATGAGGCTTAATAATCAAAATGTTTGGTGTATGTCTTTTTATTTTACCCTACTTGCAAATGACATCTTTTCTTGAATGGATTTGACATTACGTCATCAGACTTTGGTTTTTTGCATTAATGTTTTACCTCAAATTCCAGCATTTTCTTCCACATGTCCTCCCTCTTTTTGATGCATTCTATGATCTCCTTGTTCTCCTGGTAGTAGGCCTTCAGTCTGGCTAGCTCCTCGTCGTGTTGCAGGAGGAGTTCTTCAGTAAACTCGTCTGAAGTTGGAAGAAACAAACAAGACCACATGTAATCTCAGATGAAATGTCAGATGAAATGTCAGATGAAATGTCAGTTGAGACCAATGGTATCTTTTTCTAGAAAAATAACTTCTTCTCCCATATGACCTGACTGACATCACATGAACATGTAGGTTTTGTTTTTTTAATTGTAGGTTTTATTTAAAAAGTAAATTTTACAAAAACAAACAAAGAAGAGACTTTAGAAGACAGGCTGTGAGAATTAAAAAACCAAATTCAAAACTCAAAAATTTAAAAAGCAGATTTTGAAATTGACTTTGAGTCAATTTAGAACGGCAGTATAATTGACATCAATGTACTTTGAATAGAGAAGGAATAAACATATTAAACCCACTAACACGTAATACTACATTTTGTTACATTGTATTTATTCCTGGATGAATCAACCATACAGAGTCAAGGTAGTTTGAGGCAGGGCTGTTTGGGGGAGTACAGGGACTAAAGGGTCATAAATAATTCCAGCAATACAGAATCTGAATTTACCATCATAGAAGCCAGCGAAGTCATTGCGTTGTAGCCTGCTGTAGTAGCACTTGTCCCACCAGAGGGCGATCTCCTCACGGCTGGCTTCCGTCACTCGCTTCAGGTTCTGTATCTTCAGCTCCTCAAGCCGCGCAAGCTCCTGACGGAGCTGAGGAGAAGAAAAATTAAGAGAAAAGTCAGTTAGTCACTCAGTGAGTTAAGTAGACCAATTCCATAGAAACCACTCGGCATATAGGGGCAGTGGGGCCAAGTGGTTAGGATTCATGACTCATGATCAGAGGGTCAGGGGTTCAAATCCAGCTGCTGGTCATATATTGTGTCTTGGGCAAGCCGATTCACCCGCACTTGCCTCTCTCCACCCAGGAGTATAAATGGGTACTAGCATTAGCTGGGGAATAACCTGCAATGGACTAGCGAGCATCCATTCAGGGGGAGTAGAAACATTTCTGTTGTTTAATGCTACTCCGGCCTGGTGGGCCATATTGGCCTCGTGACAGAGTTCACTTTACTCAGCATAGAAATTTGTGAAGCTTAGCAAAAATTGGTTCAAAATACGCACAGCTAATTTTTTTTAAAATAGGCAGAAATCTGTTACATCAAGCTGACGGCAATGCGTTCAAATGTCCCTCCCATTGGTATTCTCGAAGTCTCCGTTTTGAAACCGTTGAGGGGGAAATTGCGGACAGAGGCTATCAGATCATCTTACCACTTTGATGTCGGATGGTTTATGTCCTCGGTGACTGGCCAGGTATTCATCTCTCTCCTCGGCAGGGAAGAGGAGTCGGTTCCACAGACTGGCAATCTGCTCTCTCAGATGATCAGCTATTCCCTGGTTCTCCCTCTGCTTGAACTCCAACTGGTTTTGTTGAAAGAGAAAAATATACAGGTCATAAGATAATGTTAAGGTCCAAAGTGTGACATTTTTCTGTCCCTGTTGACTTGATACTTCATAATTTGCCATTCAAGTATGCTTAAGAATGACTTCAACTGATTGTTTATTTGTTGGGTAGGTAGCTTCCTATTCATAATCACTCTTGGAGGATGACTGCATTAAGGAGTGCATCAGAATTAGAAAACACAGATGTCAGATGTAACGAGGACAGGAAGACAATGTGGACCTCAAATTTATAGAATGGCCAATACATAAGTAACGCTTTAGTTAATTTCACAGGCAGATTTCGCTTCAAATCATGATGCGACAAAAGAAACATATACAGACACAACCCAATTTCAGAGCAGATATGGTTGACATAACCTTTTAAAGGAACAGAGGAACACGCTTTGTGCGCATTTTTTAAATAACACATTGAAAGGTCTGATTTTAACCCACCTCCTCATGTAGAACCCTGAGAGCCTCCATGTTCTCTTTGGACAAGAGGAAGCAGTCTTCCTCTTCGCAGACGATGTCTCGCTCAAAGGAGGTGTTGGGTCCTTGCTCCAGGTCCTCCAGAAGTGAGATGATCTCCTTCTTGGTGCTGCTTAGGATATTCTGTCTTGAGTCCTACAAGAAACAAGAATCACATATTACAGAAGTATTCTAAAAGTTTAACTCAATGTAACTTACAACACAATTTTTTCAGAGCGATCTGACGCCTGTTGAAAAAGAATCTTTAAGGCAAAATAAAAAAAAAAAACATGTTTAGCGTCCCGCCTCTTTGACAAAAAGGAAGGAGGAGGCCCTTTTTTTTTTTTCTTTTCAAAATGGCCGCCCGACACATTTTTCAAGACAACGCGGCCGGGCTATTTTTCAAGATGGTTACCAGCTTTTTTCAAAATGGCCGCCACTTGGACTCATTGACTATTTCCACAGCTTTATACACGGTATAAAAGTCTAAAAATACGATTTCTTTTGTCAGAGATCGTTAAAATTTATCAATTTTTGTCTTTAAAAAAAAAAAAAAAAAAAAAAAAAAAGGAGGCGGCCTCTTAAAAGGAAGCGGGCGGGGACGCTAAACGTGTTTTTTTTTTTACTTCGCCTAATTTGAGGAAGCCAGAAAACTATAGAGTACTGGGGAGGTTTTGAGGTGGCACAGGGGAGAACAGGCAGAATGGGTTTGGGGTGGCACAGAGAGTAACAGGCAGGGCAGTTTGGGGGGGTACAGGCAGATTGGGTTTTGGGTGATACAGGGAGTAACGGGCAGGGTGGTTTGGGCAGTACAGGCACTCGGCAGTAACAGGCAGGGTGGTTTGGGGTGGCACAAGGAGTAACAGGCAGGGCGGTTTGGGGTAGTACAGGGAGTAACAGGCAGAGTGGGTTTTGGGTGATACAGGGAGTAACAGGCAGGGTGGTTTTGGATGTTACAGGGAGTATTAGGCAGGGTGGTTTGGGATATGGTACAGGGAGTAACAATCAGGGCCCGTTTGGGGTGGTAAAGGTTGTAACAGACATGGCGGCTGGGGGCGGTGCAGGGAGTAACAGGCAGGGTGATTTGGGTACAACAGGGAGAAACAGGCATGGCGGCTGGGGGTGGTATAGGGAGTAACTGGCAGGGTGATTTGGGGTGTTATAGGGTGTAGCGAGCTAGGTAGTTCAAGCCGATACAGGGAATAACAGCCAGGGCGGGTTTGGGGTGGTACAGGGAATAACAGGCAGGGCAGTTTTGGTTACTGGGCGGTACTGCTCTCACTAATTTCATCGCAAATTTCTACCTTCTCTGTGGACAGAGTCTGGATGTGGTCCTTTAGCGTCTCCAGCTGCTCAGCCGTGGGCACCGTACCGCTGGGGATGTAGTAAGGCGTGGTGCACAGCAGATCGCATAGATGCTGCTCTCGGTCCTTCAGTTGCTTCAGTATGGCCATGCGTTCAGACTTCTCCTTGTTCAAACTGTCCACCTTCTGGCGCAGGACTTTCTCCAGTTGGAGGATGGTGAGCCCTTCCTCCGCCTTGCAGGTAAGATGAAATACAAAAGGCTCATTAAATATTTCTAGAACTTGATTTTGTAATTTCATGGCACAAGCATATGCAAAATTGGGAACTCCGGTTGGCGCAGTGGTTACTTTTCTCGCCTTCCAGTTCTATGGCCCGGGTTCCATTCCTGCCCTGGTCCATAATGTGGATTGGGTATTCAGTCCCTACCTGAGTCCTTGGGTTTTCCCCCGAACATTCTTCGAGGGTTTTCCTTCCACCTCTAAAACCGTATTGTTTTCTTTTTGCCTTCCTACTACAGGTTTCTTCAGGCTTTCGAGCTACAGTGCGTAGGGCACTTTTTGAGGAATCCTTGGTTTCATTACCAGAAATAAATAATAATAATAAACAATGGGAAGTCATCATTGCCAAATATTGAAGTGAATTGGAAGGTGTGGTAGAGCAAGGCTTTGAGGATCTGTGAGGGTTTTGGGCGTTATCTGCCCGTCTCACCTGGAATGGTTTCAGCCCAAGCTCCTTGCTGACTGTCACCACCTCATGCCCGCACGTCTCCACGCTAGCCATCAGCCGCCGGCGTAAGTCTTTCTCCTCTGACACCATCTCGCTGAGCAGGTTGCGCATGTGATGCAGCACCACGTTCTGTCGGTCCACTCGCTGCTCCTCGCAGATGCCGATCTCATCCCAAATGTCTCGCAGCTGCTCCAGGGCGTGCTCCAGGCACTCTGCTACCTCCAGCTTCATGCTCTCTCGACATCTGAAATTAATCGTTTGGAAAATGAGACAAATTCTCTGAAGTTAATTCTATATTTTCAGGTCTTAAGGTCATGTATTAAAAATTCCAACATTTCATGAGAATTTTGTTTTTCATTTGAAAAAAAATCCAATCTATTTGTCCTTTTTTGGGGGTCCTGATTAAAATTCCACTTTTCAATGAATTAGGACTTGATTTTATCTTTTATTTCTAATTCATGACAAGGAGCATTTTTTTTTTTTTAATGGGAAGTGAAGTTTGAGAACTATGAATCGGTTTCCAAATGATGCATACATGATGGTTGACTGCAGCAAACCACAGCAGCCAACAGCAATGTTTTAACATTCACACAGAAGGCACTCATAGTGAAACGCATTATAATGCTTGAAACAGTGGTTGTCTTGCTTTCCACGACGACACACCAGACGAAAATTGAACCCAGGCACTAGCGGCGCCTGAAAGTGGTATGGTTCTAGTCCCACTAACTGGGTCGCTAGAACTCCTTTTGACATTTGGGACGTTGGTCTGTCGTACTAGCGACCCACTAAGGAATTGTTGTGAATTCCACAATTTCTAAAAATCACGCAAAATACTTCAAACTCCGCATGTAGATCGGGAATGCACCTACGACTGTTTCATGACAAGGCAGTCACTGCACTGTACATGTATCATTTAGCGTGGCACGCATGCACGACATAAAACAGTCGTAGGTGCATTCCTGATCTACATGCGGAGTTTGTTTATCGACGCAGGTCACGGTCGTGTCCCCATGCTTCACGTACGTATTTGTATGCCCATGGTGTACGTGCATATATAGAAATGCGCTGGGTAGAGCAAAGCGGGTGCATTATTCAATGATCGCTGTATGATGTCTGGTTGAATTTCACGGATTTGCAAGCCAAAAATAATCGGGAGTATCATTGAAGCCCCATTACTTCATCTTTGACATGTGGAGAAGCCAGTAGGTGCTTTCAAAGGTAGTTTTGTGAAGTATTTTGCGTGATTTTTAGAAATTGTTGAATTCGGAAAGATTTCCATATACGAAGTTCACTAATTTTCCTCTGTATTGACTAACAAGCCCCCAGATAGCAATTTCATGTCATCAAAGTCAATTTGAGCAGTGAGAAAATACAAGCATTTTCTTAGAAAACACTTAGAATTTTTCAGTCCAATCTCATAGGGTTTGTACACAGGGTGTTGAGTGAACTTCGTATATTGAAATCTTTCCTTGAATTCACAACAATTCCTTAGTGGGTCGCTAGTACGACAAACCAACATCCCAAATGTCAAAAAGGAGTTCTAGCGACCCAGTTAGTGGGACTAGTATGGTTCCCACTTATATACTGCATACACAAATTCTTTTATTGTCATGCACAGGCTCGGCGAAAACGATATCACCGTGCACGGTACAACCACATTGGCCGACGAGTGCGCGCACAGGCCCCGCAAAAACAATGTCACCGTGCACGGACGACCACGTGGACCGACCAGCAAACGCCATGTGCCACAGGCCCGGCAAAAACGATGTCAACGTGCATGCATTGCATGGTACAACTACGTTGACCTGCGAGTGCTCGCACAGGCCCAGTAGAAACAATGTCAATGCACGGAGTCACGGACAACCAGCAAAATCCCTCATCTTCCGTTCGTTTCACTAATTTTCTTTTCGAAAATAGGCAACTATTTTGAGCTGCGGGTACCGTACGAGTCAACTCAGGTACAACTTGACTCGGGTACGACTTGACTGGGGCGTCAATTTTGGGTTACGAGTTGACTCAGGTACGAGTTAACTCGGGTGCGAGTTGAATATACCTGCGAGTTGACCCATTTCCTAATAATACGAAATAACATCATGATTAACTAACAATAACATGACTATCCTTATGCTAATTGGTATTAGGCTTGTACGTCATGTACGTGCTAAGAAGGAATGTCAGACGAGTCGACCGTTGAGACAACTCGACTCGGGACAAGTCGACCATTGAGACAACTCGACCGTTGAGACAGGTCGACCGTTGAGACAACTCGACTCGGGACAACTCGACCGTTGAGACTGCTCGACGTGGAGCAGAAAAAGTTGCACAAATCTGTGGCAAGACCGATCACGGGTGCGGCGTGGGCATACAGAGGGCGTCGCGTCGGGCCGGTGCGCCCCGCCCGCCCGCGAGGACCGGCTTGGGCACGGCACGCGGGCACGTCGACCGGCGCGGCAAATGGGCGCACAGGGCTGGCAAAACGATGTCACCGTGCACAGTACGGACAAGTTGACCGGCAAATGGGCGCACAGGCCCGGCAAAAACGATGCCACCGTGCGCGGTACGGCCACGTTGACCGGGGATGCGCGCACGTGGCCTTGAAAAAAAAGGAACGATGTGCACGGACAATCACGCTGCGCTATACATGCTATATCGGCTCTGTTAATGCAAAAATAAAAACTCATGTGTCATCACTCCCAAATGGCGATCAGCCGCCGTCAAAATCCCCGGTACTAACTACTATCCCCGAAACTAGGCCCAAAACATGCGAGGCGACTTGTCTCAACGGTCGACTTGTCTTTCCATTTATCGCACATACGGTCGAGTTGTCTCAACGGTCGAGTTGTCTCAACGGTCGAGTTGTCTCAACGGTCGACTTGTCCTGAGTGGTCTCAACGGTCGACTTGTCTGACCCCCCTAAGAAGTCAGGCAGCTGATCGAGTGGCAAGACGGAACAGGTGACTAGTAGCAGCCACTGCCAGAAACACCAGGGCAATAAAAAATAGCCAGCCACATTATAGCGAAAGCAGTTAAAAATCATGTCACGGCTGCCGTAACAATAGCCACCAGGCCACTGCATTGATTGTAAGTTGTTGTAATGCAACAACCGGCATGAGACTAGTCGCCAGTCAGTGTCACACTGCACAGCCCGACTCTCGATTCTTGCAATAACTTCGTCAGATCTCAATCAAATGTAAATAAAAGTGACGTATAAATATTTGGCATTTCGTATAATTACCTCTTTGAAGACATTTTGACATCAGAATCCAAAAAAGCTACAAAATTCGCTCGATTCTTTGAGGCGTAAGCATGCAAAATTGTTTATCAACGCATGCAGCACGGTTTGAATACCGTGCGCCCACCAAGCGCTGTGATTGGCTGGCTCGGCTGGGGCTTTGACTGGTCCTCGAGCATTCCGTTAAAATATGTCCGCAAAGTACCAGTGAAAAATAGGTGAGTCATAAGAGCGTTTTCGAAACGACTGGCTTTAACTTCGTTTCGGCTTAATGACATGTTAGGCCCCGACTTCGGGAACTCCAGCTACATTTTGGTGCCTATTGTGCTTCAGGAACATTCAATCGGTTGTTATGAAGACAAAAGTTGGAATAATTTTGTTTGGTTTGCCTCTCAGTGATTCAGAAGTAGGAGGCGAAGCCGAAGCCGAAGCAAAGGTTTCGAAAACCCACTTAGTAGACTGGTGGTCTATCCCGTGCGCAATGTGGCGCGGATAAAATTGCTTTAAGTTTAAGTATGAATTAGACGAGATGTTTTACTCTCAGAAATTATTTAAAAGACGAGTACGTCTTTCCGCGTTCATGCATCCATGCATCAATTATCCCTACTTCCATGGTTCATGCTACCGTTCAAGAATGTATCATTATCATCGACCATACACTACATTTCCAAGAAATTCTTCCGCTGGCTTATTTTAGCCCGTGGGGTCGTGAACTGTATACATGTGGCATTCCTATAGAGGAAGGTGTTCCTTGGCATGTTTAACCATGAAGGAATGGTTTAACTAAAAAAGGTCAAGGCCAGGATGTTTTTTTTCCACATATCATTTCGTCTACTTTGAGCCTCATGTTGTTAGTTCTAGTTTAATGTAAATCATGCATGACCTCAATTGACTTATCTGTTCTGAACTGAGCTCAATCCAGCAAGGGCGTTCCTTTTAATTGCTCAGTGACGTGCACTATGACGCAAGTGATTGGTGTAGGGTGATTTGACACATTTTCGCTGGACAGCTGTATGTAGCCAATGAAATTACACGATTGGCATACACGTTTCATTGTGCCCCTCGTGTCAAATTAGATACCAATCATCAGCAAGAATTCAAAACGCTTGAGGATGAATAAAAAGGATGAGCAAGCACTACACTTTGTTCTGTGCCGCCTGCTGCCTGCATATGCACTGCCGCCCTACAGGTGCGCAAAGGAGATATTACCAACACCAGAGGCGCAATGTATGATGCGCGATACAGGTCGGCATATACATATCTGATAGAGGTGCATGCCAGACAAGATCTACTGGAGCTACAGTCCGAAGTACATATAGGCCACGGTTCGTTTGCCTAAATGCTCTATGGGACTTAACTTGTTCCTGAGGGCGAGATGTGTGTGGATCGTCACGGTGCACTTGATCATAACAGTGTGAAGGCAACATAAAAGACAAGTCACGGGAGTTTACTTCAGGATACTATCAGAAATGATCAGCCTGAGCATGGAGCTATGGTCTGAGAAAGGCGACGATGAGATTTGGAGGAATTTTGAAGGTAGGCGTATACATCATAATTATGGGGTTTTTTTAATAAAAATGTGTGAAACCGTTAAATCAGGGGGGATTGCGACCATTTTCTCTAAAGCCACCAATTAAACCTTTCCCGACGGTTCTTTAAAATTCTTTCCAGTGTGGTGAGGTGTAGTAAGATGCACGGGATAAAGTGGAGTTTCCGTAAGGAATCTTCGGGTGCCGGGTAGTTGCACTTTCACTGTAGTGTATGCAATCAGCTTTATAAATACGCAAAGAACCGTTGGGGAAATCCCCTGGCTCTCGTTGAGGCAAAGTTGAGTGTGCCACAATCATGACGCACACTCAACTTGCGCTGCAGGTGCAGTGTGCACAGATAAATACGTATAGCGAACTTGTACTTGGTTGACATTCAATCAGGCGCGGTTTTAGAGCCAATATTTTTTTGGGGGGGGCGGGGGGGGGGGGGCTAGCAGGGTGGATCCAGACATTTGTTCAAGGAGGCGTGCTGAAATGTAGACCGGTTATTTTGTTCCCAACACTTAGGCCTCCAAAATTCAATGGGGGGCGGGGGCTCGTGCCATATTTTCAATGGGGAGCGCTGATAAAATCCTACAATCGTGCACACTATATTAACTATTACAAAAAAATGTACAAAAGGCACCCTTCTCACGACTATTTATTTAGGGGGAGACCCGTTCGCATGTACGTCACATTCTTTCATTTTGCTAGTGCATTTTTTTTATGGAATTTCTTTTTTGGGGGAAGACAATTTTTTCAGGGGGGGGGGGGGGGCTAAAGCCCCCTAGGCGCCCCCCCCCCCCCCCCCCCCCCCCCCGTAGAACCGCCGCTGGATTCAATACCAGGACCGACTCAGCGTCACAGTCCTGATCCTCAGGTCCTTCGGAATGACAAAAGCGAGCCTTCCCCTTACATATCAAAATGAAGACGTTCAGTAAATATTCAATGGACACCATTTGCAAACAAATGTAAGTAGTATCAAACCGAGATCTTGAGCAGCATTGCACCTAGTGTAGGTCTGTCATTTTCCAGGAAAGACGAAGTACCTTTATATCGATGGTTGGGACCAAATCATATCGCTAGGGGAAAAACGGTCTTGTTTTTTAATACTGCCCCATATTGACTGAATCTTCATAAGTCTGTTTAGTTTGAGATCGTTTTTTTTCCCGAGTGAAAACCCGGGGATCTAGTACCACAGGGGCCGGGAAGGGAGTGGAACTGGAAGTCAAAATGTATGATTAGTAGGGAGCGTAAGTTATAACGGAACCTTGCTTTGCGGCGCGTCGAGAAAAACGAAGCACTGAGAAAGCATCTAAAAGGCTGAAATTTCGACAGGTTAGTTTTTTAATAAACTGCTTCAGATTTATTTTTTTGCTGTTTGTTGAATCGGCAAAATTATTTCTTTTTCTCAAAGTGGAGTCCATCATACATTTAATCAAGACATAGAATTAGAAACTGAATGAGGTGCCCAAATCTTACGAATTTATTGCCACGGTGCCCAAACGTGCAAGAATGACTACAGTTTTATCTCAATGCTCAGTTTGAAGTTTGGTGATTTCGTAAAGGCTCAGGGGAATGCACCAAATGCGGCTTCTGTTTTTAAAAAAAGCTTCTCGCTGAATTGCGAAATCGAGCAGCAAAATGCCTTGCCCTAGCCAATGACCGCAAGCCGCGCGCTGTTCACAACACTCCATGGTGCGGTTGAATATTGTCTGCATAGGCGGCCAATACATGAGTTATATTTGGCCGTGGCGCGGGCGGCGCGGGCGGCGCTTGGTTTTCCCGGATATTTCGCAATGTTGTATTGCGTGGCGTCGCGTCTGGAAAATACAACAACGATCGTGTGGTCGATCAACAGTCATTGTCGTTCACGTATAAAAGATGCGCTAACCGTAGTTTCGGCCACCCATTCTGACTGTGAGATCGTTACACATGTAGGCTTGTCAACCACCTTCCTTTAGCTTTTTCTCCCGAGCCTGTTTGGTCGAACTGAAAAAAAAATGAGTGACGCGGTCCTGGTAGCAAGAAGAGGTAGCGATGGCTACGTGGAAAATCATCCCCACCCAACCAACCATCCATACACCAACCCTACCTCCAAGCATCGTCCCTATTATCAGTCGGCGCTAGACAGCGACAGGAATCAGGAGTGGAGGCCAGGGGACGAGACGTATCATCAGGGGAGCCTGGAAAGGCCCACGCCCGCCCCGGGACCCGGGAGTGGGGCTCGTGGCTCCCTTGTTGGTGGGGTGAACGGTGGTGGTGGTTGGGAGTTGGCTGGGGTTGATGGAAGGGGCGTGGCATCAAAAGAGAGGGCGGATGATCAGTCTGCAAAATGGGATGGTTTAGCGGCAGATGGCGTTTGTGGAGCTGGTAGGAAAATACAACTTCTCGAACCAAATTCTGAGTCTGTTATAAAGGGAGATATGCAAAAAGTTCCTGTCAAGCAAAAAGACTTTTTGAAGGTTGTTGGCCGGGTTCATAGACATTTATCGGATGGCTCAACCTCAACATGCTCATCATCAGATTCTGATTCAGAGGTAAAGGAGCTGTATAAAGAGAACGCCAGTCTACGTCTCCGTGTTAGAGCCATTGAAACCATCAATGGAGCATTTGAGAAAACCAAGAAAGAACTAGAGACAGAAAAAGCCAAAAATGCAAAGTTGGACATAGCTGTTACAAATTTACAGGCCCGGCTTTACAAATTTGGTTGTGATTCGTCAGTCGACCTGCCCAAAGATGACATTTTCATTCCCGGTCGCGACCGCGCTTTTGTCAATAGCTTGATCAGCGAGAATGGGAAATTGCTGAAAGAGTTGAACGAGTTGAAGAAAAGTGGTGAAGTAGATGAGGTGTGTAAGTTTTTATTGTTTTTCATGACTGCAACAAAACCTGTTGCTCACTTACTGTCATTTTTTACAATTTTGTGTTCCTGAAAAGTGTTTTCCTTTCAAACTTTAAGGACCTGGGAATCTAGGGTAATATTATGCATAAACATAACGCTAAGGATCATCCTAGCTAGGGTAAAATGACACCCCCCCCCCCTATCCATTAATTATGGCACCACCCCTTTTATTTTGAATTCTCCCCTATGATTTTTCTATGCGTACACATTGCATTTAGTTTCAGATGATACCGAAAATCACCTGTACTTGTATCAGTCATGGTAACACGTCAACTTAGATTTTGATTGGTTGAGTTGATAGGGAGTGGCACAGTCAGAAATGTCAGTGAAGTGTTTGAATTTGAATGCAAAAAACACTGCGTTGGTAGGTATGACTGATTCAAAGGCTGTTTGATTTCAAGGCCTACCTTTCATCTATTGTATTGATCTTTTTTTTTCCCGTTGAAACCTTTTTTGTGTCCTGGACCAGAGTGTTTACATTTGAATCGGCCCATTGTTTGATCTGGAAGAGAGTTTAGAAATGACTGTATGGTTTCCTGGGGTACTTCCCCTGAAATTTCTGATGATATTGCGCAACCTAACCTTGTTTTTCTTTTTACTTACATTAGGAAGTTGGCACAGAGCCAACATCAGTTGTGGTTTACCAAAGTGGAATATTCTGCAATCAATTTGTTTGTTGGATTTTTTTTTTTTTTTTATTGATTGCAAAACCATTGTTCAGGTTAAATTTTGATATATATTTTTAGAGATTAGCTTATCTTTTTTTGTGAGGCAGGGGAATTATAGGATAGGCTGTGAAAGATTCTAGCCATCACACCATCGTGAACTTCTTTCTTGTTCTCTTTGCATAAATTTTAACAGGCAACAAAAGATCTACAGCAACAATTACGTGAGGCAAAGGAGCAGCTCAGAATCGGAGAACTTAAAATCCTAGACCTAGAAGCCTTAGTCAGGTCCTCCGAGGATGTCAAAACAGCCAAGATTGTGCATCTTGAAGATACCTGCCAGCGCAGCCATAAGGAGCTCCAAGACGTCGAGGAGATGTGCAGGGTGCTCACGTCAGAGACCAAGAAACTCCAAGCCGAGTTGGCTGCATCGCAACTCCAACTGGAAAGCAGCTGTAAGGAGCTCGCCGACTGGAAAGAAAAGGCTCAGAATCTGGACACCAAAGTCTTGAATGTGTCTTTGCAGAAGGTAATTATGATTGGTTGCAGAAACATAGCACTCGTATCGCAACGTACTGTGGAATAGGTGGAAAGTGGTACAAACATCTTTGCCCAAAAGTGTTTTTCGACAAAGCATTTGCTAAAACATGCCTACTTTAAATGACAGTAGCATACACTGTTCTAAGCTTCCGGTAGTAACTAGTTTTGATAGTTACTTCTGTTGACCAGTACTAGTTACCAGTACTAATAAATTCTGTAAAAAAAAATATAGTTAGTCACAAGTACTAGTTATAAGTGGTAAACTCTGATGGAAAAGTTGCAGGTTCCGCTTTCCACCTATTCCAGCATTGTGTGGGTGTTTTTGATGTTTTATTTTTAAAAAAAAGTAAGACGTGTTGTATTTTTTGTGTCCCTTGCACGACAACAAACGTGTTTTTCTTCACGGTGTGATCAAGTGCGGACGTCTGTTGACGATGGTTGACGGTCGACTGCATTGGACACCCACATGAGAAAAGATGTGACTTTTGCCCAAATATTTTGTCTGCAAGGCAGCAAAGGACAGCCGTTTTTTTCCCCAAAATTATGCTGCCTTCTCTATTCTTGAGGTTGGTGAACATGTTAGTCCAAGTTTGTCTGGTCTGTTTTGATTGTCTTTAATGTGGAACTTGATTGAAATTATATTGCTTAATATATTGTAGATTAATTTAACATTAAAAGTGCTTGAAAGATGATTATTTAAGGTTTGGGCCATTTTTATTTTTATACAGAATTTAGTTGTTTTTGTTAAAGTTGATAACATGAAAAGAAAGCGACTTTGCTTTTGATTGGCTCATTCTGATATAAAAAAAATCCCAAATTATGAAATATGAAAAGTTGAGAAATACATTTTAGGTTCTGTCCCTAGATGAACATGTCTGGACATGTTTAGGGGAGAAATGCGATAAAAAAAAAATTTATAGCTATTTTTTTATAGCTTTTTGACAAATCACCAGGGTTTTGTTCATTCATGGCAAAGTGCCAAGTAAAGTGGCGCCACATCTACATGATTGTTATCAAAAGGCTGTCTGTGATTGGGCAATGGTATGATTGCTCAATAGGGGAAAACCCAGACTGAGTAAGAATATAAATAGTGATTTACATAATGCATAGTCTGTAGAGTAGTACTTGGTTGGTACTTGGTTGGTTGGTTTCCCAGTACATGTACTGCACGTTCATTGTGTACTGTGTACACACAATATGCTGCACCTTTGTTCCCACAAGGTGCAAAAAGGTCATATCCTAGTATGGGGCAAAAGTAGTTCCGTCAACAAATGAACCTTCACATACTGTTTATAAAAGGTTATATCCTAGTATGGGGCAAAAGTAGTTCCGGCAGCAAAATGAACCTTGCCATACATGTACAATGTGCATGTTTACGCACAGTGATCACATTGTGTATGTGCATTATTATGCCTATGATTATGCTAATCAAAGAAGGTTTTATGTCTCTTTGTGTACACTTCTATGACACAGCATAATGTACAATATGCCCCTACTATGGACATTGTAATAATCTAAACAGTTTCATATAAAAGCACAAAAATTACATCAGGTGAATGTGTCATCAGCACGAGGTTCAGTGAGACAGCAAAATCCTTGTTATGTAATGATGTGAATCACAGGGGGATTTAGACGGAAAATTTGCTCAAAGTCCAAAAGATATTTCCTTGTGATTTCATTATGGGAAAACTGCCAGAGAAATAATAATCTAAAAATACAAGTCAGTATATCCTATAAAAGGGTGTTTCTGTGGAAATTATTCTTCAGATTTTTTCCAAGATTGTATCACACATATTCCTGAAAGCCTAAAAAAACTGTTAATTTTTAGTATTTTTGGCATATATTTTGAAATCTCAGTTTATTAAAAGGATTTTTTTTACATTTGTCATTTCATGGTGAGCTGAACATACATGTAATGAATGAACAAAATTGCTGAACCAGCTTTGCCATTCATCAGAGAGTTGAATAACCTTGTATATCTTTCAACCTTGAACCCACACACATACCGGTACGTGTACAGTCATTGCTAGAATGCTCTGGTGTTTCGCAATAATGTCCTTCATTCCTGGAATTCAAAACTAATTCAGTGATTCAGAAGTATTTAAAAGTCTCTTTGTCTTTTTTTTTCTTTTTCATTTTTTACTGAAAAGCATAATGATGACATACTCTGTTCACAAGTCAGAATTCAGATATTCAGTGTTGTGGTTGAAGTTAACCAAAAAGTTTCCATGTATGTTATCAATTAATGTGATTATGTATGGACTGTCCAACTCCTCAAACTCAAATTATTGAACAACTGCATAGTTTTTACATTTTCAGTGAGTGACAATTTGTGATACAAGGACTAATATGGATTTTCTTTCTCTTTTTTGTTTTGCCCTCCATACAGATGGCCTTTCACAAAGAGAGCAACCTGAGCGTGGCTGACCAACTCAAGATAGCCGAAGGTCAGGTAGAGCAACTGGAGAAGGAGAGCTCTCGTCTGACTGACCAACTCCGCGAGGTGATCGGCATGAACACGCGATGGCAGCGCTACAACGAGCAGCGCGAGACCCACGTCCTGAAACTGACCAAGACCAACCAGCACCAGCAGTCCAAGATCACCGTCCTCGAGCAGCAGAAGCGAGACTTGGAGCAGACCATCAACGGTCTCAACGTCATGCTGCAGAAGCTAAAGGAGGAGCAACGTAAGAACACCGATGCGGCCATCTTGGCTCTCGAGCACCAGGTCTCGCGGCGGGAGGATCGCATCTCTGAGATGGCTGAGGAGTTGTCGGCACTCAAGATGTACCTGCAGAGCAATGAGGATGCAACAGAGACAAGACAGAGACCGGAGGACCGGGAAAGGATCCAGATACTTGAACAACAGGTACAAAAAAACCTGAAAACACAAAGAGCTTCGGTCATCATGGGTATCTTTCGATATCACAAATTTTCCACCATTTTAAACAGATCTGGTAAATTAGCAAAAAAGCAGGATCATGCTTTTTAGTATTCGCGTGGCAATTGTCCATCAAGTACGTGGGGGGGGGGGAACAACTTCTGACTCTGGGGCACTTTGCAAAACGTATGTATGTAATTTACATACGGTTCACATAAAGAGAACAACTTGGCATAGTATTTTCATCGTTCAACGCATTTAAATACGCCAAAGTTTTGTAATCCGTCATCTGGTTTTTAGGCCCATTCCAAATTAGCGTCACGCCCATTTTTTCCCCCCAACTTGGATTAAGCACTTGATATCGAGCATCATTGCAATGTAAAGTTTTGAAAATGTGGACACAATGTTCTGTTAAGTTTCATCTTGAGACATGATATAAGATTTTTGTGTTGTTCTTGGTTGTTTTTGGCAGTTAAAAGCTTACAAGGACGATTTTCAGCAGGAGCGAAGGGACAGAGAACGTGTACAGTCCAACAACGAAGTCCTGAAGCACAGACTACAGGACGCTACAAGAAAGGTGAATACATCAGCGTTGATGAGTTGTCATCTTGTGCAACATCTTGAAATATTTTAAAAACAATTGCCGATAACGTTTACCAAAATTTGTCAGACGCGCGTCATACCCAAACAGTGGAAAATCGGACAAAATGATTATTATGACATTAATTATTGTGGTGATAGGATAGCAATAAAATTAAAGGGTCGATAACATGCTGAAAATGGGATGCAAAAAAACACATGATTGTAACAAAAGCTTAAAACAGACTAGTAGTTGTTTCAACATAAATATGGTTCAGTAAAATTACATGTTTCTTGATTGGCTGGCTTTTCTACAAATAACCTATGAATTCACAAAAACAAATCAATTAGGAACAAAGAAATGTATCACATTAACAAAGCTGGATATATCTTTAATGTGAGACTTTTTCCCACCATTCATGGTATTTGGAAGTGTCTCTTTCCATCATTGTTTATCTTGTATTGCATATTATATTCAATCATTCGCAGATTGCAGGCTTTGAACAACAAAACGCTCGCGTGACACCAAATTTCACAACAAATATTGCTGGTTACCAGCCACAACGGGTAAGATAATGTCTTCATTCTAAAACAAAAAATGAATTTCCCTAGAAATTTTTTGAAATGAGAAAAACAAAATTTCGGACAAGTAAATTCTGAAAATTTAAACAGTGTGTTATAACTCTGACTTCCTGAGTTGGTTTGCATGTTTGCAGAAGAATATCTTAGATAATGTGAACATTTATAAGTTTTTCTCCCCATAAATTTTGAAGAAAAAAATTCTGAAAAAAGTTTGTTAATTATGATAAGAGGATGAACTATTACAAGTGCTGTTTCATTATTTTAATCCTTACAAACTTAGCATGCTTACTGAAAATCATCCTAATGTAACAAAATGCAAGGCACATCCAAAACATACTCGTAATTGAGACATTAACCATTAACTACATTGTAGCACCAGGTAAAATCTAAAAAGCAGTATTGCTGTCAAATTTCTGGTCTGTTATGTTTTTGCAACAACAATAATAGACAGCATCATCTTTGATTGATTTTTCCGATAGTATTTAAAAATATATTATTCAATTGTTCAAAGAAAGTTCATTCGGCTGGTTAGCTCAGTCGGAAGAGCACTGGACCGATAAATCCAGGGGTCGCTGGTTCAAATCCGGCATCGGCCAATTTCTTTGTTCATTTCAATAATATATATCAAAGATGATAAAGATGATGAGAGTTTATCTTGAAAATTAATGGAAGTCTCTTGTCTCAATGAGATGATATGTTTCTTAACTGTTATGCAAATATTGGAGAAGTGCTTAATCTTTCAAGTTGAAGCAAGATTTCTCATGAGGGTTTGAGGGAATCTGTGAATCGGGTACGGGCTCAAGACACAATCAGAGTCAGAAAAGGCGATGGTGTTGTCCAACTCTACGATCCCAAAAGTCCATTAAAATAAGTAGATATTCAAACACAGAGTGAAAGCCTTTTTGAAGTATGGCGGACACAATCGTAGGGCGCTATTTCGAGTGGGTAAACCCTGTATTTACTCACATTTACCCATGTCAAACAGTTCCCTCCCAATAGTCCGCCACAATTCTAGCCACTGGAAACACTTGGTCCTCAATGTAGACATTTACTAACTTACTCGTAAATTGTTTAAATTTTTTCAGAGGTTAATTGCCCGGGGTATTTCAAGACCCAGCTATGCTTCTGATGAGGAAGCTTATCGCGTATCGGACCTTGAAATCGATGCTCATGATGAGACTGACGGCCCCAGTTCAAGCACAGAACCGCTGCAGTGCCCACGCTGTGCGCAGGAGTTCACTGTGGAAAATCACTCCATATTCATGAGGCATGTTGGAGTCTGCCTAGACCAGTAGCGATGATGTCGATGGCCACATTCGTAAAGTATTCTTTACACTTAATAAACGGCAAAGATAAAAACTGAAATGTTGATCGTTTCAGATTTTGGACAACATCGTCTTTCTTTTTGGGAGTTGCATAAAACAATCAGAACTGCTTGAATTTGAAAAAATGAGACATCTTCTATGTTTGAGATAACGTTTGCAGGAATTTTTGTTTTACATACGTGGTTTAAGAGGCAGAAATTTTATGCCCTAAAAAGAAGTCAAAATTCATTTAATGTGAAAGATTACCTGCAAAGGACCAAAAAAAAAAAACACCTTTAAAAAAGAAGAAAGAAACATGTTAATCTAATTTTGAAAGACAGTTGTCCAAAGTTTCATTTGTTGGATTTGATTCACGAAAAATTTTAAAAGAAAACTGGTGTCGTAATGCAAAGAGAACAACTCTTGCATTGAATCCAGATTAATAAGAAACTTCATTTATTTGGCTTATGTTGGAGAATTTTATGGAAAGCCCATTTTGAAACAAAATTTTTTGGCGACCATTCCTAAAAAAAAATGAAAAAGATAAGAGCCAGTTTATATAAGCGGTAAAGAATACTTAACGACTGTGGCCGTTTAGGGGGTTATTATTTTGCCTTTTTTTTTATTGGCAATATTTTATTAAAAAACTGCTTTTTGAGGGATTTATTAGACATGTTTATTAGAGTGGTGGTTTGTAGAACTGACATTTTCAGTTTTACAAATTGGTCCACTCCTTTTGTATTGCAAGTGTAATAGAGTGAAATTACATTCTGTCACACTTGCAAGATTATAAGATGCTGCAGGAGAAAAATGATGAAGACATGTCCTTGAACTTAACAACACAGAAAGAAACAGAAAAGACTGCCTCTTACTAGTCTTAGAGATGAAGACTGCATGTGTCTTAAAACAGTGAGCATTAGTCAGATTTATTTGGTCCGATTTAAAAAGTAAAATCAACTTGAAGTTTAATCAGGACCTAGTTTACATTTGCCAAAGAAAAAAAAAAGGAGTTTCTATTTCCATGTTTCTGTAGTTTAAGTTTATGCCAAGAAAACGCTTTATGCTTTAAACGGCATTCAACTTGAAATGACAATTTTGTTCATGGTTATGAGTACAAGTTCGCAAGAGAGTTTTGAATCTAACCTTAGTACAATTTACCGTTTATTTGACATATTTCAAGTTAATGTATTTCATGAGAGATTTAGAATTGGATTGATAGATTCACTTTTTTGTCCACTCCTATCTTAGTTTGTTTTTTGGAGTTCTATATTTATCACTCATATTATCACTCATATTTTATTGCAACTTGGCAAGCTTTTCCCTGCGCACCCGACGCACAGAGCTATTGCTGATTAAACCAAAGTTGATTATCGAGGAAATATTTCGCTCAAAATAAAGATGACTGTCTGCGCAGAATTTCACAAATTGTCAGTTCAAACAAAAAGTGGCCACACTTAACACAACCAACAGGCATGAAAACTTCTCATTATATCCCAATTCACGTGTGCAATTTATAGAGTTGGTGATGCCAAAATCCAAATGGTTTATTTTTGTATGGTTTTGATAATTAAGCACAATGTACAGATTACAAAAAGTTGTGTATAATGCGCTTTTTTGGCACCATTTTTGCTGATGCTGTCAATACAATCCGCGCCTGAATGTAAGAAACAAACTTTGAGAATGCTTGGTGGCGTGATAGGGAAAAAGACTGTGTGGTTGCTTTAGAAAAATAGACAATCGCTGCTTACTTGTGGTGTGTGTGTAAAACTTAACAGCATTTTGAAAAAATATTTAGTCATCGTTTTACATTATAGAATTCTTAAGTAGAATAGTCACAAAATAGAACATAAATGTGTATGATCTATAATAACATGGATTATTGGGAATTACAAAATTACTCAGCTCATTCTAAGTATTCAGACTCAACTTTGTTAGAAATAGTTCTTTTTTTCCCTCCGGTTTTGCTCCTTGGAATTACATGTATTTAGCTTTGAAAAATGTATCATGTACAAGTTATAGTTTATGTTATCTTGAAGTTGGTTTTGAATTGTTCTTCAACTCACTCAAAATTGTAATTGGCACTATTGTTACAAAATAACTAGAGTAATTGTTCTTTTTTCAACATATTAGTTTACATTTATGCCATAAAGGGATGATATTAGCTAAAACATTATTTTAAAAATGTGACAATAAAGTATTGTTAAAGAGTAAATCAAATCAAATCATGTTTGAATGTTGCAGTATTGTGCAGGTACGAAGGTACGGCAAAGAGTGAATTTTAGCAGATTGTTGGTTTTCACAATGTGTAATTATTGGCGACACTTTGTCACATTTTGTCGGCTCATGACCCTGTCATGAACCGACAACTTAAGTTGACGGCTTACCACAACGGAACAATGTCCTGAGTTCATCAACTACAATGTACTTGTTTTACCCCTTACAAGCAAACTTCGCCCCTCCCCTTTACACCGTGTGGAACAGACTGTAGCATCGGCTGCGCTACGATGTGGTGTATTTCTGATTGACCGACTGATCAACATCTCCATCTTGACGTACTTGTAAGGCTTGTTTTGTTTTTGTTCTCCCCATTTCCCCCAGGGAACCTCAAAAGAGTGACGGGGGAGATCAACCAGAGAGATATTTCTACAGTCCGATGTGCTGGCGATGAAGTCATGCCCTGCTCTGGATAGAACTGGAGAAGTAATTGTGTCTGCGAGAGACAATTTACCGGAAGGAATTTTGTTTTACTTTGCCAAATATTTGTTTCACTATGATATTGCTGACAAATTTAGAACGTCACAAAAATAACTCAGAGGCGCGTATTGTGTCAATAACCCAATCCATCTCCTATTACTAACACACCGCGTCGAATATGCCAAATTTGGCGTTCTCCCCGCCAAGTTTTGAAAGTTGTACTTGACACGTGCAGTCGTGCACAATATATCTTGCAATCTTGTCCAGATACGACTGATTTGTCATTTTTTACTCATGTTTACACTTTACATGATTTAGGGTTAACGAACGCAGTTGTTGCGGGCGAGAGAAATCATTAACAGTGCAGTTCTGGTCTGCGCCACTCAGTTGTCTGTTTTATGTAGTTTTGTTTTCAGCCGAGTCGAATTCAGAGTTTGTTTCCGGTCCTAATTACTTCAAAATGTAAACATTTCCAAAACTACTTCAACTGTCGACCTGGCAGGGACATACCTTAACTTAACAGGCAACTAGAGACGCACTGATGAAGGTTCAATACCAGAAACCAGAATAAATGATACAGGTTTACTTTTACTCCAGATTTGAACTTGAAGCAGAGCACGAGAGGAGACGAGATATGAACAAGAGGGCGCTATTCAATTTCAACGGTATCGCGTCAATATGTGTCGAGTGAGTGGATTTACCATCGGACCAGCAGGCCTACACACATCCGTATCGTGGGGCATGCGTCACCAACTTATCCAAGTTGTGGGATGGATTGTTGAACCATGGACAGTTCCTTGCTCTATGGTTGAACCAAACAAGACAAGGCAAGCCAAGCAAAGCTGATCCCAAAGCGCAAAAAAATCTATTCAAGGATTCAAAATGGCAATTAATCTCAATCATGCAGTGGAACGGACGTTGCTAAGTTCATTTGGCGTAATTATACTGGGCAACTATTGGATACGGCTCACAACTTGAGTTAAGGGGAGCCAGTCAGCCTCTGTGAGATAGGTACTATTATTATGAGGACACGAGGCTGCAGCCGGCCCTGGGTCCAGCAAATTTTAAATGTAAGATAGTACGTCTGTTTATTGCATTCTCTGAAGTATGGTGCCCAACAGGCAAATTTCATGACATTTCAAAGAATAGTACAAATTTGGTGTTTCCTTCCCTAGTAGTAAGCAGGCGCGGTTCTACGGGGGCTAGGGGGGGGGGGGGGGGGGGGGGCTGTATCCCCCCAATTTTTTTGTCTAGCCCCCCCAAAATAAATTCCGTAAAAAAAAATTGCATTAGCAAAAAGAAGGATTACATGCGAACGGTCTCCCCCTAAAGAAGAAATAGCCGTGACAAGGGTGCATTAGTTAATATAGTGTGAATGATTTTAGGATTTTATTGGCGCTCCCCATTGAAAATATGGCACCCCCCCCCCCCCCCTTATTGATTTTCGAAGGGCCTAAGTGTGTGGAAAAAATAACCGGTCAACATTTCAGTACGCCTCCCTGAAAAAATTCTGGATCCACCGTGCTAGCCCCCCCAAAATATTGGTTCTAGAACCGCGCCTGGTAGTAAGGTTCACAAAGGGGCACGCACGCCGGGGGCTCAAGTGAGGGGGGGGGGGGGTTGTCATGCACGTTAATTGCGGCCGTTCGTGGGCCGTTCATACGAAGATGGGCTGAAGGAATTTAATATTCCAGAGCTGTAACAGTCACTGATTTTTGTGAGTCATTTTCAAGAAGTGACCGAGTCGAGTCATTAAATAAAAAGGGGGTGCCAGCCGATCGTCATTCACTGGGGACACTGACAAACCACGTATGTAAATTATAATGTATACATTATTCGTGAACATTCTCGTGAAGTGAACAAATAAGTCATTCCAAATATTTTTCGCAAAGTGTTGCTTTTATGTTTTGGGACTCGAGTCTTTAGCCTCAAACTTCCAATATCTTCCGGAAATTTTCCACAAAATCCTCTATGTTAAAAAAACAAGATATCATCTTATTAGGTATTCCAATTATTTGTTTTTATCCCCCCCCCCCCCCAGCCCACCCCTTAAGTTACAACCACCACCGCGCGCGCGCACGCTTTCTAAAATTTGTATCCTTGTGGAGACATTTTTTTGTTCTCGTGTATAGTAAAGTGTTCAATTTTGAAAGTGAAGTTTCAAAATGCTCTTATTTTAACCAGAATTAGTTTCCTTGGCTGAAATTTGGACTTGATATCCCTTTTCTAAAACTCTTCCATTTGCGACTGATCAACGCACCTTGGAAATTCCTAGTTTTTGAGTAAAACCCATATATCTATTTCGTGAAAACCTTGTGGAGACCTATTCATCTATAGAAATTGCCCTGTGGAGACCTTTACAATGTTATGTTCCCTATTGTGTGCGTGTAGGATACGAATTTGTGGTCAATGTCCGCGACTATCCATGCCCCATGCATGCTGTTCTGGCACGGCTGGGTATGATCGCGCATCCCTTGGGCGGACACAGGTTTTCATGACAAATGTTGACACGTTGATAAAACAAACCGTAACCTGGAATTGAGGACACATTCTCCCAACATGCGGAAAAGGATATAGCCCTATGTTGGCCTATATGCCGCAATTTGTCAACAAGATTAATACGCGGAAACGGTACTTCGGTTCTTCTACGTCTTTTGCCTTTTTCAAACCCCGGATTCGTCTCCATTGTGGCTTCAGGCATGCAGTTTGGCAATGGTGTTGTAGACGGATACGGAGCCGAGGCCGAGTTGGGGAAAACGGCCTTTATTAAAGCGAAAATTTCATTTGAGTTGAGCAATAAAGGCTTTAGATTTTCAAAACGATTTTGGGGCAGAATATGAAGCTTAGTCTGAAATGCAGCCGAGATTTCGACAAAGCCTGGATCAATACCACGCCCTCTACTCTGCATACGTAACCAACATAAACCTATAACTATGGAACGCCAAGTAGACCAAAATGTGATTTTACATGTAATACAGTTGAATGATAATATAGTGGTAATAGTCAACTTCCTTGGCGATGTTATTTGTTTTGTCAAGTTGTACATGTTTGTGAGTGATATTCATGTTCTCAAAACACTACACCTATTTTTTAACATTGGAAATGTGTAACATTGTCAACTTCGTGATTATTCTTTAGCCTCGGTAGTGATGAAAAATTGGATATTACTTTAAAACTACAAAACACACAACAAAAATGCAAATCTATGCGGTATTTTATCATTTATTAAAACATTAGGCCCCTATTATGACTGGTTGGAAGGCAAATAATGTAAATTGTAGTTATTTACAAACTCCAGTAAAATCGCGTGTTGCGAGTGACACTGGCTTTTCCCATCATGCACGAACTTGAACTAGCTACGTGCGAGACACCGTCATAAAGAATTTGGAAAACTCTTGACCTTTGTATCCAAAATCACGAGTACTGTGAATTGTATTGTGTATATATGTGCGGCAACAACGTCACAATGAGTCGAAGGGCAGCGTCAGCGATTGCGCAATGGTACAATGTTCTGGTCGATTGAACTGCGTTGCCGTTTTCTGGTGAGCTGTACCGACAAGGTTTCGTGGGAATAACTACAAAGCTGAATACAATTTTAAAAAGTTTAGAACTCCCAGCCCAGTTCAACTTACTTGAGAGCCACACTAAGCGTGCTTCATACTTTGACCAATTTATCAATAATTCACTGTGAGTCAAAACAAAAGCGGAACCCAAACCCCCCAAAAATATATTTCATATTTTAAAAAATATGTAACACCAAAAATAATGATGAAGCCAATTTCATAAGCTTCTTTTAGATGAAAAAAAATTACTGAAATGGCTCAATCCGTTCAAAGAATATCACCATTCAAACGCAATGACCCCAAAATCTGTTTCGTCCCCCTCCAAAAGCAATTTATTGTGTATTCTGACTGTTTGGAACAAAGAAAATGACACAGAATACTTGTTTCAACAACTGTAGTACACAATATCTTTATTAACAACCCTGGTTAGACAAACAAATCTGATTTATAAATCCACTTTTTATAAAAAAAAGACGCCTGAAAAAGGACTTTGTGGAAAACATGTATTTTTAATTTTTATACTGAGGATGTTTGAAGACAAAGGTGACGTCGATTCTTGAAATCGCATTTTTTTTTTACGATTGCTTAAATGGTGATATTCTTTGAACGGATTGAGCAATTTCAGTATTTTTTTTTCCATCTAAAAGTAGCTTATGAAATTTGCTTTCGAGTCATTATTTTTGGTGCTACATATTTTTAAAATATATAAATATAATTCTTGGGGTTTGGGTTCCGCTTTTTTGACTCACCCTGTATTTAAGCAGCTTTGGGCTTAAAAATCTTGCTCAGTTGTGTGATTGCTAAAAGGAAAAACATTAAGAAATAATTAAGCTGTCGCGGTATAGCTCCTCTGGAGAATTAAGAGTTGAATACTTATGACCCTTGGTATACATGTTATAAGTTTCATTTTCTCAGGGTTTAATAAAGGAAATTTAAAGGCATATAGTATCATTTGCACTTATCCAAAAAAGTAACGTACCGAATTATTATCAAAAAGGCAATGCCTATACTTGGATTAAAGATCGTATTGGTACTGTACACACCCCGTGAAATTATGCGGTCTGGCTTGCATTTATTTACAAGAAATCAAGATCATGCAGTACTGAACCGGCTGATTGTTTTTAATAAAGAGTTCTATTGACGATATCCTGATTCGTGATGCAACGGTTGTGCGTGCTTTTTCACCGCTTTCTAGAAAATTGTAATATCCACCGAGCTGAACTTCAACAGGCAATTATTGGAAACAAACACAACGCATGAAAAGCAAATGATCATAATGCCCTTGAGCCTAAATGTAACATCTGTGGCGACAAGATATTATATCAATTTTGAACCAATAATAAATTAACTCGTCCAAACCATAGTCCAAAATGCTTTACTGGGAAATACTAGCCGAAATAACGTTCGTTTATAATGTAGCCGTCTTTATACAAATATTTACCTTTCATGCTAAAAATTAATGGATTGTTTTGTAACTAATGTTGACTTTAGCCATATATTTGACGTGCGCAGCCTGTAAGTTATGCTGTTAAAATACCGGTTTTAGAAAACAAAATAGAAACCTACAAAATATAGAGCTAACCAAAATAATATACTCAGTCTACTAATATTTATCCGTATAACTATCTGTAACACTCGCTTATGTGCAGTAATTGACTGTAATGTTTTGTCTTCGATCGGCTTTATATAGACAAGCCTAGATGAAATCGATACACACAAAAAATCGTTCCAAATGTTTCGATAGCCACACTTTAAAAAAAAAAATCAGTCCCGCGCAAAGTTATTGCTACGAAAGCTTATAATTGCAAACTTCCATTCTTCAATTTTAATCCTATAAAAACCCCTTATTTCCATCCGCATTGCGAAGTGGAGTATAGAGGCCTGTATATGACGCAACAGCATAGGAAATTCTACGTCACTGGGACATTTCCAGAAATAATAGAATGAAGCGGGTTGCATGCCAGTCTATTCCAGTCATGACCAGTGCGCATGCGTTTCCAAAAATAGATATGACGTAAGTATACATAAATCGGATCGGACCGTATTATATAAACTCGACGCCACGGCATGCACGTACAAGTTTCACTGGCTGATTGTCAAAATATAGTCTAGGTATATATTGTACAGGTATAAAAGCATCTGAAAAGCGGTAGTGCAAATATTCCATGTACAAAGCAAGTGTGATGTGTCCAACAAACGGCGATCGAGTAAGTACAGAATACAGAATCAGAGGTTAATTTAGATAGAACCGAATTGAGAATTATGTTTCACGACCGTGTAATTTTTTGTTTCATGGAGGAATGGATACAGCTACAGTCTATAATGAATTCGCGAAAAATTGAAGTGTGGCTTACGCGTTTTACGCTATTTCATTATTTTTTTATGATATCATTTTGTAGATAGTTGAAACAAAGACGGCACATTTACCATCAGACATGGTTTCGGTGGAACAATTCCGCCTTAGTCAGAGACAAACAGCCCAGATGGAACTCGAGAACGGACGGCTCGCCAGCCAGCTGAAAGAAGTGGTCGGCATGAACACACGCTGGCAGAGATACGACGAACAACGCGAGGCGTACGTCTTGAAACTACACGCAGCAAACAAAGAACTGCTCGGCAAGCTCAATGCGTTGCAGAAGACCTACTCGGAGCTCAAGGAGCAGATCTCTCGCGAGAAATTGCGAGAGGAGCGCCCGGACCTATTGAAAGACCCTAAGGTAACCGAGGCGAGCAATAGAACTGCTCCCATGTGCGCCCTGGACGCGAAGTTTGCCCGGAAGGAGAAAGAGATGGCCACTTTGACGGATCAGATTGAGCGTCTTGAGGCGCAGGTCGCAGCCCTGCAGAGATCTGCGGCGAAGAGACGCGAGGACGAAGAGGAACGGATTGCGCTATTTAAAGCTCAGGTAGGTTGGCTTGTTTGTTGGTTAGTTGCTTGAGTGATTTTGTCTGCCTGTCTATAAAAATCAGTTGGTCGGCAATCTATCTGTCGGTTTGCCAAAAACAAAATTTCATTCAGTTGGCTTCTTTTTCTGGCTATAGTTATACAGCTGTTGTTTGGTTTGTTGATTGGTTGGTTTGTTTGTTCGACTATCGGTCGGTTTGTCTGAAGTCTGTCAGAAAGGCAGTAAATGTTGACTAATGTATTTCGTTCAGTATAATTGATGTCGTTTTTTTCTGGCTAGTTATAGTTGGTTAGTTGTTTAATTCATCTTGTGATAAATCTCAAAACAACGATCTAATTGCAAAACCAATCTCTTTCCTTCACTGAAGCTTGAGGTATGCATGGAGGACTTCCGGCAAGAGAGGAAGGATCGTGAGAAGATGAACTCCGACAGACTACGGCTGAGGAAGCAGTTGGATGAAGCTGAGATGACAATAGCAAGACTTCATCAAGAGGTAAGAAAACCACGCCCATCATCTTTACAAATCTTAACCTCCAAGAATCTTATATTTGGGGTTGCGCTTTTCGACATTAACACCAAGTTTCATTCTTACCAAAAGTTGTGAAACATTTTCACGTGATGTCAGAAATTGGGGGTACGGTTGCACAACAGTGACGTAAACTGACGTCACAGTGATGTCACACAGATAACATTCAGCAAGAAGTGATAAATAGAGAGTTCCAAGAATTTATAGATAAGAAAATACTGACGTCGTCAAAAAAAAAGCCGACCGGAACTTCGATCGTTGTTAGTACGTTTCTTGGATCAGTGTTGTGCAATTAACCTTTGGTTATGGACTGTTTGCCCAACGCGTGATTATTTTTTCATGTGAACAGACTGAAATGTCATTCCAAGTTATTCAGATGTTTTCTTCGTATTTTAACAACGAGACTTTTTTCTTCTTCTTAAAGATTACAGATCTTGTTGAGGAGACACGCTGGTTACGGGACAGACCCTCAAGACTGACCCATCACTACGGCGAGACGGCTAGAGTGACCTCTCCACTCGGACTGACCCACCATTATAACTACTACGCGACCGCACCTGTCAAGCAGAACCACGTCAAGAGGGTGGGCGTGGCGGAAACCACGAGGCAAGTGGGGGGTTATTACGGACAGGACGTCCCAGACGATGATGACTCCTTGTGTCGCCTTCAGAGTGATCTCACCATCGATGGAGATGACCGTGACGGTGTCGCATCGCCAACTGACAGGGTGAATGGAGCGACTTCTCCGTTGGATATGACGAAAGTCCGCGATTGTGTCCCTGTTCTCAGCGATGAGGCGACCGGGGAGAATCCCTTGAAATGCCCTCAGTGTCTTGTCGAGTTCCCGGTGGAAAAACACGTCGAGTTGTCCCAGCATATCGAACTCTGCACTGGCGATGCAGACGTTTCTTCCCAATAAAGACTTTGCTGAAAAAGAATTCTCTGCCTGCAAACCACGACTGTATAGCTGCTATACGTGTATATATTTATTTATTTATTTATGAATATAATTTACTTGCTCTATTGTCTCTGAGTTATACTTACAGTGACGTTGTTGATAGCTTTATGTCCTGTAAAAAAATATTTTTATTCCATGAAAAAAATTATATTTATTTCCTATAGTATTTATTTGACACTAGATGTCTCAAATTTGAGTCATTATTTGAATTTTTTTAAATTGAAAACAAAACTATTTTTGTAATATTTATTAAGTGCTATTTACAATGAGTTTAAAGGTGTACAATTTTGTTCGCGGATCACCAACATTCATTGGCTAAGATTATTTTTTATGAAAACAATTCAAACGTTATCATGTCTTAATGGAAATGGGATCAAAATCGTGTTTATCTGACGCGGTAGCCTTTTGGCTTCGCCGATAGACGAATCCGAGCACGTGGCACTGTGCACTCAGGAGGCCCCCTTAAATGGCGAAAGCGTTGTCCTAGCTATTGTACAAAGCTGACTGTTCCATGGCGGATCATCTGAACACAAGCTAGCACAACGCTTACGCCATTGATGGGGGCCATCGTGATATCATGCCCGGATTTGTCTGTACGTATAGGCCTATCAAATTATGAGCCAAAGCAGACTGGCGCCGAATACTAACATGAGAGACATATCACTGTGTGAAGCTAGGCCCATGACAAGCCACAAACAAAATCGTGTTACAATTTGAAGCAACTTGTTCGAAAAGAGACACTAGTGACTCGAATCAAGACCAGCCTTCCAACAGATGCAATTTCGGACTAAAACATTGTACCCGAAATGCCTTCGTGTTGAAATTACACGAAAACCGCACAATTTCAAGTTGCAGTTGCTTTCACTTTTATTTGTTTTCAAGTTTTTAATGATCTTTCAAAGTTTCCAATCATTTTGTGGAAACACGTTTAAAGCCCCAAAAGACGAAAGTTTTTCTTGCCAAAAGCCGTTATTGAAATAATGAATCTCACTCAAAAAGTATTCAGATAGTAATGAAAATGTTTATTTTTTACCAAAGTGAAATAATCGGACGGGTGTTGCACAGCAATATTATTTGGAATAAAGAAGTGAATATTTACTTGGCACTTTTATTAAATTTTTAAAGAAAATACTCTATCATTTTCAATTGTCTCATATTTATGCAAATGTTTCTCGATTGTTTGAAAAAAAAAATTGACTGAAATATTCAATTTTCTAGTTTCATTAATAAATGAATTCACCGTCCGAATAATTTCATTAGAAAATTGCTATATGCAGATATGTTTATAATATATATTTTATATTAACTTTCGACGGATATTTGTCATTATAAAAATCGAATTTGAAAAAAAGCGACATTGTCTTTTTATGCCCCGCGGCGAAGCCGAAGGGGCATACTGTTTCCGCCTTGTCCTTCCGTGGGTGGGTGGGTGGGTGGGTGGGTGGGTGTGTGGGTGTGTGTGTCCGGACAAATCTTGTCAGCGCGATAACTTGAGAAATACTTTACATATGAACTTCAAATTTGGTTTGTGGATTGTCCTTGGCAATCCTAAGAAGCCTATTGCATTTGGGGCCGAAAGGTCTAGGGTCAAGGTCACAGTGGCTGAAACAATAGAAATTTTGTCAGCGCGATAACTTGAGAAATACTTTACATATGAACTTCAAATTTGGTTTGTGGATTGTCCTTGGCAATTCTAAGAAGCCTTTTGCATTTGGGGCCAAAAGGTCAAGGGTCAAGGTCACAGTGGCTGAAACAATAGAAATTTTGTCAGCGCGATAACTTGAGAAATACTTTACATATGAACTTCAAATTTGGTTTGTGGATTGTCCTTGGCAATTCTAAGAAGCCTTTTGCACTTGGGGCCAAAAGGTCAAGGGTCAAGGTCACAGTGGCAAAAACAAAAGAAATTTTGTCAGCGTGATAACTTGAGATATACTTTACATATGAATTTCAAATTTGGTTTGTGGATTGTCCTTGGCAATCCTAAGAAGCCTATCGCATTGGGGGTCGAAAGGTCAAGGGTCAAGGTCACAGTGGCTAAAATAATAGAAATCTTGTATTTATTCTGAGATCATAGGGATTAGGGATTAATTCATATAAAACCTACAGAAGACACTGATGCTGTCAATGAACGTTCCATTTGACCAAGGTACATGTAAGTTGATGTTAGAGTGGTGTTATGTCATGGAAACAGTCACGGTTGCGGGGCATTTGTGTTTGTAAACACACCTGACTTGTTTTATTCAGTATTAATTAAAAGAAAAAAGGACAAATAGCAAAAAAATTAATACTAAGTAAAGGAGGGAAAAACGTATTTATGCTCGTTCATTAATATTTATATTTTCAATAAGCTATCCAAAGTTCCCATGGTAATTTCACAAGTTCAGTCCATCAAAAACTGTCAAGAAATTTGTTGCCACTGGTGCAATCATTAATACATTTCAGATACTTTCACACGTATAGCACGTAATTTTCAGTGTTCAAAGTGATATATTTCTGATATACTTAGTATATATCTTTGGTCCGGACGTTTGTTATACTTCGCAATTTTTGTTTATTTATTAATAAATATTTATTTAAAGAATTAAAAATGCAATAATATTTACTCATTTAATTATTTAATTAATTAATAAGGCTAACTTACCAACTTGTCTAATTAATTATTTATCTATTAATAGAAGTAGTAGGCCTATAGTAGTAGTAGTTAAAGTACAATCTATATATAAATTTAATTATTCATTTAATTTACCTAGTAATTGATTTTTTTAAAAAACTTCTTTTTCTATTTATTGCTTGTTGTTTTCACGTATGCCAGTCAGTTTGGAGAACCCCTAGACAGAAACAATGTTTTTTTTTTTGGGGGGGGGCAATCCTTCGGGAGCTGAATGGTATTTTGTTTTTGTTTGTTTGTTGATGTATCTCAAGCTTTTGGTTTTTTTTGTGTTGTAACTTTAGTCATTTGTTTACATGTATGTGTTGATATATTCCCGAGAAATAAAATAGTATAGTAGTATAGTATAGTATAATATACACATGTACAAATATTGAATGCTTCGAGTGGTGTAGTAAAACTAGCCTCCCTCGGTGATCCACGGACCATTCTATTTTCCCGAGGCGAAGCCGCGGGAAAATAGAATGGTCCATGGATCACCGAGGGAGGCTAGTTTTACTTCACCACGAGATAAAGCATTCAATATTTGTTTTATAACACTTCACCCACAGATTCTGCTTGATTTCAATATTTTAAATTATTTAAATCGGAACACAGTTTAAATAAACTTCAATTTCAATACAAAATTGGTGGAAAATGTATTTCTCTCTTAAAAACTACCCCTTCACGAAATGTTTGAACCCAAGTCTGCGGCGCGCTCTCTTTGGAATAATACGTGCTACGCACAACGCGCAACGCGCACACCAGCATGCATTTGCACACAAATACTGCGCCGTGGAAATAGACCGCTTGCAGACGCGATCGATAATTGACGCGCGAAGGTGCGCGATGCCATGTTGTGGGACAAAATGTGCATGGATAGATATACGCTTGTCCCACAAAATGGCGTTGCGCGCCTTCGCGCGACGATTATCGAACGCGTCTGTAAGCGGTCTATAGTACTTTGGTTGCTAATGGTATAGTACTTTGGTTGCTATGCGCATAGTGCTTTTGGCCGTGCACAGAAAGATAGCAAAATTAGAAAGTAACATGTGACTCGCTCTCGGCCAATCAAGACACAGAATCTGTGGGTGAGGTGTTATAACATGATATATCCGCAACTTTTCTCTCTATTCGTATTCTATAGTTCAAATCACATTCTTATTTTATACAATAATGTAAAAGTGTTTTTAACACTGTAAAACGTGGTATTAAATAAGCCATACATCAAGTGGATTTATTCGTACATTTGTAAATAGAATAGAAAGTTTTCAATTATTTAAAACTGCCTGTGGCTTTTAAGTTTTCACAGTGCGATGACGACAGCATGACGTGATCATTTGAAATTCCAACAGTACAATACATAGTATTTTATGAATGGGTTCTGCTTGTCCCTGACGTCATTCACTGCATGCGCAGTGAAGCCCATTTATGGTGAAAAAATGCGGCCTACATCGTATCCAGGTCTATATAAACTCAATCTTTTCATTCCCAGTCAACCATGAACATCGCACCCAGAGTGGGCGTCATAGGATGTGATTATTCATCCGTGTGAGGGCGCGAGACATTGGGATATAGCCTCGGGTTACCCATTGTACGCCTACTTTTTAACCCACATGTGGGTGTGTCATGGGAAGTTGGGACAGTTTTCCTGGGTTGTTATGGGTGTCTTTCCTCCCACTTGTGACAACCCAGACAATCAACTTGTATGAATCACTTGGGTTGATAAATGTAATAAATATTAAAAAAAACTTTTTTATTAAAAGTTTATCAAGTGATTCACATATTTATTTTAAATCCTTAAAGACATTTAAAATACACGTTTTTTATATCATTGTCAAATGAACATAGAAAGTTGAGGCTGAGTTTTGAATGACTTATTATTTAGTGCATGGTAGTCCTCCGTTTCGATTTACACATTTAAAAAAAATTGTCATGTGCAATTCTTATTTGTCCTGCATGAAATAAAAACTGTTGTTATGCAAGTATATGAGGTTTTGAAATTTTGACTAAGAAATTAGTGAAATAAATCATATTTTTTAAAGCATCTATTTAGCATTTAGTCCTTGTCTTTTGTACACATTGTCTGCAGCTTCCCTGCTTTTCCGTCTCTTTGCATGTTGGTTTGTTCGTCGAATTTTCTCGTTTTGAAGTAAAAATAGGATTGGATCAAATATTAAAACGTACATTTAAAGGCATATAAGACAATTTTGCTCTTCATGCATTTTGTTCGTGTCCAATAATAATACAACTCATAATCCAACGACGAATGTTCAAAACCTAAAATCTGTTGAAATTTCAGCTCAGTGGATATTACATTTTTCGAGAAAACAGTGAAAAACCATGCGGGACCTTTTGATCACAAAACACGATTTCGTCAATTCATTCCACAAATCCTTCAAATAACTGACAGATCGTTGGAAATCATCTACATTTCTTGATTTCTTCTAAATGACAGCAAGCCAGTCTGACTAATTTCATGGGGT